CCAGGTGTTGTTTTAGAGGCAGACAATCCTCGGTACTGTGCCCCCGCTCATATGAAAGATACAGCGATATCGCGGATTGAGGCCCCTTTGTGCATCGCACAATTTAGCTGGAAACCGGACGTATGCCTCGTCACGAATTTCGCTAAGGATGCGATAGATTGGGATCTTGAAAACCATGGTGATGTCTGTTTGGGTGTTCAACTTTTTGTTCGCATCTTCCGTGGCGTCATGAGGATAGTCAGCTCGGTCGCTGCGACGACCCTTACCCCGGTAGCAATGACTTCGGTCTGACTCTGTCTCGTGGTTGCTCGAACGGTTTGCCTCTTATCCAATCGAGTGAACCTTTCCGGCCACCCTTTTGTCCGTTACCACCGGATTCGCCTTCACGGTGGCCACTATAACATTATCCTCTACTCAGATATGCTCGTTGATGCGCTGCATTAGTAGCTCCATGGTCGTCGGTTGGTTCATGGTAAGCGAGTCCCTCAGTCTATGTCTGACCGAAGATCGCGCTTGTATTGGGTGATTGCCAGGTTAGTCGGGCAATCAAAGATTTCGTTGAAGGTTTCCTAATATTTGGCGTTGTATGCTTTGAGGGAGTAACCTGGTTCCATCTTGACGCTCAGAAGGTGGTCGACTTCCTTCAGCGTTTTGGTGTTGGTTTTGAATCGAGTCACGAACGCTTCCGCCAACTACTGCCACATTTCAATACTTTCCTCCGGCAGCCTCTCGAACCATTTCAGGCCCAACTCACCCAAACTTGACTGGAAAATAAGGCACATAAGGGCGTCGTTGCGCTTGTATCTGGCCATGACTTGCCGGAAGTGGCTCATGCACGTATGGATCGGTTTTTCCGTCGTAGAGCGTAAACTTAGGCTGGTGAAAGCCCGGAAGGAGTGGTGTGGTCTCTATCTCGAGGGAGAAGGGGGTGACGCTCAGCCTCGCCAAGTCTCTATCCAAAGGGACATGTACAATTGGATGCGGTGGCGGCATTACAACTTTTTCACTTGCGCGACCTCCGTGGGATAACCACTGCAACGCTGGTACCCTTTGCGCCTCCTGCCGACACGCTCGTTCTTCCAAAACGTCCCTCAGATCCTCCGAACGGGGCAGAGTAAGAATATCTCGACGTCATCAATAAACGTGAGGGACGGTAACTGCTATCTCGTTCGCAAGACTTCTCTGCTGGCGAGTCAAAGTCACCAACCCATAGTTTCTAGTGATGGAAAGGCAGGGTGTCCACCGCTGGTTCTAGCTGCTTAAGCGACGGGGTTGGATGCGCTTATTATAGTTACCCACTTCAGCAACACCCTTCCCTTTGACCTGCCACTTCAGCGCCTCCATCTCCGTCGCTATCCTCGAATGATGGCGTCTTGGTCTCTTAGCTTGTGTTCCAGACGCTGAGCGTGCGACTCTCTTCGTCGCCGGTGTCTGTCGGTACTTTGCAAGTGGTCAATGCTCCTTGCGCGCTTGTCTCGTGTATTTTGGGGGAGCCCTCTAGGAGAGGTCTCCAGGCCAGCCATGGTAAGGATGGCGGGAAAACCATCTCTTCTCTGAACGGACTTTGGAGTGATGCTGTCGATGACGAATAGTGGGACGTCGTCGTTATTCGCCATGAAAGATGATCAGAAAAGCTTAGAGGACAAGGTTTTGCCTGTCAGAGATTTCCCACAGACGATGCCAATTGTACGGGAGCCAAATGTTCGACGTTATTCGTACTCCTTGTGTCCAAGTTACGCTTCCCTCTGAGTGACCTGAGAACACAATGATGGCGAGCTACCCCCGCGGTGTATTGCCGGAAAACCCCTTTGACGGTCAAGTTAGCAAACTCAGAGAGAGAAAGGGGGTGTTTGGTAGGGCTTTTTTTAGCCAACTTGTGGCTTCTGGCTTTTAAAAAGTTATTTTGGACTGTTTGGTTAAACTTATTTCAAACAGTTTCTGATTCTAACAACTTATTTTAAGTGAAAAAAGCTGATTCTGAGAAGCTGCTCACCCCTTACTTCTGATTATCAGCTTTTGCTGTGGACATATTAATTCACGGTTATACTCTTAGATTTTTATTTTTTTAAAAAAAAAAATAGAAAAAGACACAAATGGACTATAAAATATTATTATTATTTTTTATGAGAAATGTAGACAAATAGTGAATAATAAAAAATAAAAGTTAATTAAAAAAGCTACTTCACAGCTTATTTAACAAATACTACTTAGCAACTTAAATCTATAATCCAACAGCTATACCAAACAGATTAACAGCTTCTGATTAAAGTCATAATCTATAATCTGTTAAGCTATAATCTATAATCTATTTTAACAGCTGCACCAAACAGCACCAAAGAAAAGAGAGGGGACAAAGTGGTAGGTGAGCTCCAATCAGAAGATGTTACAAACCTGAGTATGGAGGCACAGCATTGTTTATATAGTTTCTGTGCGCACTTCTGTGCCTATTTCCCTCTTGACGCATGGACCTACTCTCCTCTCATATTCCCTTATATGTCAGCGCTAATACGCTAAACGCCACCTAACGAAACCACCAAATGATATCGACGCGTATGGATAGCGGAATCTTATTCCTGCAATCATGTCGTGCTGCGTAGTATTTCCCACCGAGCTATACTTAGTGCGTCACCACGCCATCGACTTATGACCATGCTACTTGTTTGGTTTCTTTGATGGTTTCTCACCATGGGCTCAACCGAGCTTCCTCAGTCATGACCGAGCTACTGCTCAGTCGATTTGATCTTCCGAGGACTAAACCCATCTAACTCAGCAGAACACACATCTCCACTAGGTTAGCGGTCTATAGTTATTCCATCTTCACCGGATTGACCCCTTGGTCCAGCGCGCACCCAATGTCCAACTGAGCAAGGACACTTTGGCCCAACTTAGCTTGGCTCAATGTTAGGTTATGAACCTCCCTCTCATCAAATAATGTTTAGTTATTAATAGTAATATAATTGGGAAATGATTTTTCCCCCGAAAAATCGTCCCCCGAATCCCCCGAAACACAGTGAGAGAGGGAGAGAAGAGGAGAGGAGAAGAGAAAGAGTAGGGGAAGAGGAATGGAGGGGGATCGTCGTCCCGCCGATCGTCGTCCCCGATTGTCCAATCGTCACAGCTCACTCCGATCGTCGTCCCCGATTGTCCAATCGTCACAGCTCACTCCGTCGCAGCTCAGCTCCGATCGTCGCCCTGCCTCCACCTCCGCCTCTGCCTCCCCCCGCCCTGGTTGATGGCCCCTCCAGTCCTTCTCTTTTTCCTTTTCTTCCTCCTTCTTCTTTATGATTTTCTTCTTCTTCTTTTGAAATTCTTCTTCTTCTTTTTCTGAAAAAAACAAAAAAAACAAAACGACGAAAACGACATCGTTTTCGTTTCGGGAGAAATTCAGGGGAGCTCTTTCGAGCTACCAATCACTACTCAATATAATTTATATTTTTGAGATAGTAATATTAATTACACGGACTTCTCACGAGGTATCTGACAATTACACTAATTTTTCTTTTGTAATTTTTGAAAGTACAATATCTCCTCTTCTAATAGTGTTGTCAGTCAAACGGTGTTAACACTACCATGGAAATGACAAAAATATCCATCCATAGAAAAAACATGAAAAAAAATCCAAAATACTCCTACCATGGACATTACCACACACAATGTAACCTCCCATCTTCAAAGCCCAGCCATTTCTGCAAATTCTCAATCAGCAATGCCTCAGTGGACCTTCGCCTACCTCCACGCACCACCCAGACCAGCCCAAACCAGAATGGGTGTTCTTTTTTCTAGGCTATAGATATGTATATTATAGTGAGATTTGGGAGTTTTCAGTTGCGTGTCATCATGTTTTTTATGCTTTTGGGTTAGTGATCCATAGTGAAGACAAATTTGATTGAATGAAAGAAAGAGGTGGTGGTGTGGATCTATGATTTGATGATGTATACAACCATGTGGAGTGGCGAAACTAAGGGCTGGTTTCGTATCATCACAAAAATTTAAAAGTTCAATAAATTATTAAAAAAATAAAAATTTTATACTATTTATCTCTTTTTGATGGAAAATTTATCAATTGAAAAAAAATAAAAAAAAACAAAACAACGCTGCACAAACTGTGCAGCCACACATTTCAACAAAATTTTCAACGTGGCACATTTGTAGCCACACATGTCATATAAAAAAAAAATGAAAAGTGACAGAAAGTGCATTGTGCAGTGTCAGCGAGGGTAATTTCATAATTTTATGATTTTATACAAATTTTAATACACATTTTTTTCATAAAAAGTCAAAAAGTTAATCCAAATATTCATATTTTTTCCTCTACTTTTTAGTCCAAAAAAACAAAAAGTGCACTTATTTAAGACACCTCAAACAACTCCTAAGAAAATGAAATTTAGAGGGGTACTTATTAATTATAATATTAAATTTTTTTATAAAAATATTTTATATAAATTTTTACGATTTATTTCAACAAAAATAAATATGTGTATATATATATATATATTATGGATAATGAATTATATCATGGACAATATAAAAAAAAAAGTTATGGATATAAGTTTTAAAATAAATTTTTATAATGATAAAATAATTTTTTGGGCAAATTACACTAACGGTCCCTATAGTTTGGGGCTTGTGTCATTTTGGTCACTGATTTTTCAATTGTGACACATTTGACCCAGAATTTTGAATCTTATTCCAAATAAGCACAATTGAATATACTATTGCTTAATTTCATGGACAAAATCATCAATTTGATAAAATATAAACTATTTTGATAAAAATAAATGTCAAAAAAATATTTTTGAATATTTGATAAAATAATCAATTTTTTAATTGAAAATACTACCAAAGAAATAATTTTTTTTCAAAATAAATATTCTAAAAATTTAAATCATAAATATTATAATTTAAAAATTCAAAACAATCCACCCATCAACATCAATCGATGAAATTATAATTCAAAACTCTTACCGAATGGAGTCTAACTATTTTACGAAGTTTTCAAATTGTCCCTGAATGATGGTGGATTGGTAATATTGTTGGGTTAAAAAACATTGGAACATCGGCGTGGACATGTATGTCTATCGTACGGCTATTTATAACTGCAAAACCCTAACCCCCCTTTACCAACATCGACCACGACTGGTGCTCTGTTTTTGATATATTTCTCTCCCATCTCAATCCCATCACCAAACCTAACCCTAATTTTTTCTCAGATTTTGATCCAATCTCGTTGTTGTTGCAGAGAAACAGACATATTTCTATATATATACATCAATAGAGAGAGAGAGTTTTCGTGGATTGCGTGTATGGTGCCGGTTGAAACAGGAGAGATGACAGAGAAGGAGCATACCAGGAAACGCCGTCGTCTTGCCTGGGATGTCCATCCATTCGACCAAACAGAGGTTAGGGTTAGGGTTAGGGCTTTCAGGGAAGATTGAAAATTAAAGCTAGGGTTTTTCTTGAATTGGGTTTGAATCTGACATGGTTGGGAATTGGTGGTTGTTGTAGGCTGACGATCGGCCGGGTAATAATCAGGTGTTGCGTCGGTATATTTCGCCGCTGAGGAGGGACGATGATCGTGAAGGCCACTACGTGTTTAGTCTTGGGGACAATCTCACTCCAAGATGTAAGGCCTTTCTCTCTTAACCCTTGCTTTTCAATTCACGTTATTTTATTTAGACCATTCCATTTAGAACTACAAAGACAAAGACAAAGAAAAAGAAGAAAAGATTGTAAATTCAAGTTCTTTGAAAGTAATTTTGTAACATTTCCAGTAGAGTCATTATATACATCAAATGAAAAGAAGAGAAATGAAAGTGGTGAAAATGAAATTTTTTGAGTTTTTGTAAATTCATGTCTGTGCTAAAAAGATTTATAACAAGAACAAAAATATTTTCCTTTACCAGAAATGTGATAAGATTTAACTGTGTACATGGGTTGTGGCCACCCTTTCTATTGTGTTTTAGTGAACACTTGTATTGTACTTTGTACATATGTATACAGCCCTAGTGTACCATGAATTGTTCTGCTTAAATAGTGAAATATCACTTTCCATCATGTTGGTGTTTAGGTTTCTACTTGTATAGTCGAATGGATCTTCCTGATTATGGCTTTGATATTGTTCTCCATGGACAGAGTGAAGTTTTTGTGCATAACATCTGCACTTCTTATGTGTGCCTGTTTTCAATCTCTTTTTCTCTGTGCTGCACAAGTTAATAATTGTTCTTGTTAGAGACTTGCTTATTGTTGTCCTTTGTACAAGTTACAAAGCTGGTTGCATTTTTTGCCCTATATATATGTATTTTCGTATGTATTTATTTTTGAGGTGTGTTTTTTCCAGCCTTGTTTTATGTTGTAAAACTGACTGGTGCAACTTTTTTTTGCTTATGTTTAAACAGATAAAATTCTTAGCAAGATGGGTGAAGGTTAGATGTCAAGTGCTCTGCTGTCTACAAGATCTTATATTTTTGTGATTCTGCTTGTGTCATATCAGCGAATTGCTAGTCCTGTAGGCACATTTGGCCGAGTTTTGGAATGTTGGGACCGTCACACACGAGAATATGTAGCAGTCAAGGTAGTTCGAAGTATACGCAAATACCGTGAAGCAGCAATGGTTGAGATTGAGGTACTTCAACAACTTGCTAAGAATGATGAAGGCGGATCACGGTACGTTTTTACTGGTATTAAATGAGAAAAGCTTTTGATTTTTGTTGTGATATTTCCAACTTTGTCATTTTTGTTTTGTTATGCAGCTGTGTGCAAATTCGAAATTGGTTTGACTACCGTAATCATATATGCATTGTGAGTATTCCAGTGGAATTTATTCTATTTGTTTGTCTCTTAATTTCTTCTTCTTTGCTTTTTGTTGCTAATTTTACCAGGAAGTTGTGTTACATATTGCCATTTAGTGTGGACTTTCTATACAAGTTAGTTGATTTATTTTTCTTAGGACCATGTTTATCTTCCTCTAGGATTCGTGCAACTTGCTTCTGGGATATTTTATCACTTATTCTCTATTTTTTCTCATTCATTATTGCTTGTTTTTACTATTTTTGAAGTTCTGGTGCACTAAAATTCTAAAACAAATATGGCTGGTAAAATTGCTTCTGGTACTTTGAATTGATTTGTGAATATGAACTTCATTCATGACTCTGAAACTAAACAAAAACCTTCCTTTGTATGCATTTCAATGGTGTTATCAGGTGTTTGAGAAGCTTGGACCAAGTTTATTTGATTTTCTAAAGAGAAATAAATACTGCCCATTACCTGTGGATCTTGTTCGGGAATTTGGACGTCAGCTTTTGGAGTCTGTAGCATGTGTGTGAATTGTTCCTGGGCTTGCTTTATCTCAGACTTTCTATTTGTTTTTTTTCCTTTCTAACCAGTTACCCCAGTTCTCTCTTTTGGCCTGTTTTGTTTGTTCAGGAGTGTAGCACTTTATTCTTAATTGGGTCCTTTTTTGTTTAACATATCTTTTATGGTTTATTATATTCGGCAGATATGCATGATTTAAGCTTAATCCACACTGACCTGAAGCCAGAAAATATACTTCTTGTGTCTTCTGAGTATGTAAAGCTTCCAGGCTGCAAGGTATTTGGCCTTCTATAATCAGAAGATCATGCAATTTTGTAGTTGGGTATAGGCTCAGTTATAATATTACATAAGTTTTTTTGGAATGATACAGAGGATCTCTTCAGATGAAACACATTTCAGGTGCTTGCCAAAGTCAAGTGCCATTAAGCTGATTGATTTTGGTAGTACTGTAAATGATAATCAGAACCATAGCTCGATTGTTTCCACAAGGCATTACAGAGCACCTGAGGTTATTCTAGGTAATTAGTTGTCAAGCAGAAATGCAATGCTTCTGTTTGTTTATGTTCATGTGAATTGTCCTATATCCAAGTGGGACACCGTTGGTAGCTTAACGAAGAATTCCAAATTGTTACCTGAAGTTAGCTTTTCTTGCTCGTTCCTTCTCCCTTTTTTCTGACTATGGGAACACCAGACTTTGGTAAGATGGGAGAATACCAGAGATAAACATAAAGATAGATGAGAATAATTAAAGCCACATGTGACGGCTGCAAAAAAAAATGCTATTGTGTAATTCCAAATGACTTTAATGGTGTTAAGATAGGCTGCTTATCAATTAGAAACATACACCTAAGCAATTGCAAATATGTCAATGTTAAATGAGATATATGATCTTCTTTTCTGTGATGAGTATTGAGATAAGAAGCTTTGGGGAAATGTTTCTATGGGTGATCCTTGTTTATGCATGATCTGGATTGAATTTGGTTTGAGATGTGTGTTGTATTTTCTACAAAGTATGTGTTCTTATAAAGCACCGACTCAATGCATCTGCTGATCAAAAACAAAAAAAACAAGATGATTCAATGCATCTAGATATTCACAAATCACCACATAAACATTGTAGTCTTTGTTGTTGTCTTCTTTTTCTTCTTCTGTTTGCCCCTCCCTAAATGCCTTCATTTCCACCCTTAATATGTAATCAATCTCGAAGGGCTTAATAAATTAATTTTAAATGTTAATATAATACCGTAGAGGAAGCCCATTTTGAAGCATCAACACAGTGGACAATCTCACATTGATTGTTAGAGGAGTTGATTAGAAAATAGTTTTTGATGGGCTTTACATTGAAATGCCTTTGATTTTTCATGACTTATACACTAATCATTCATTTAATAAACTTTGTTTCAGGTCTAGGATGGACTTATCCGTGTGATTTATGGAGCATTGGTTGCATACTCGTTGAACTTTGCTCGGTTGGCTTTTTTATTATTTTTATTTTCAGGTCTCAGAATTGGAACTTATTACTCAGAAATGCTTAAGCCATGGAAATTTTGTTTCAGGGTGAAGCATTGTTTCAAACACATGAAAACTTGGAGCATTTGGCAATGATGGAGAGGGTTTTGGGACCTCTGCCAGCTCATATGGTTCGAAATGCTAAGTAAGTAAATTTGTCGAATTTAATTGATGAACCTGGTACCTTGTTCCATGAAGATTGCAGCACATGTGATGTGTCTCATGTATCTTTTGAAATTGAATTATTTGATTTTGTATGATGGCCCACTCATTACTTCTGCTGTGTAGCCGTGGTGCTGAGAAGTATTTCAGGCGAGGATCACGACTGAACTGGCCTGAAGGAGCAGTCTCTAGGGAGAGTATCAGAGCAGTGAATAAGCTGGACCGACTGAAGGTCTTGACCACTGCCCCTCCTCTACCTCTTGCCCCTTATACTCTTTTTATATTTTATTTTTGTTGGTCAACCCCCTCATATATGGTTCCATTTATTTAGTAAAACCTTTTTGGGTAAATTACACCAACCTCACTTGAGGTTTGAAAAAAAAAACACCAAGCCCTACAATTTGACATAATTACATTGTGCTAATACGTAACCCTTTTTTATCAGTCATTCAATAGTTGTTTGGATGAAAAATGTTGTCATCTTTTTTACACTAAAATATACCCTTGATGATCCTATGTTTACACACCAACTGCAGTAGTTTTGTTTGCTTTAACCTTACTAAACCCTACTAAAAGGGCAGTTTGTGTATTTATAAAAAAGAAAAGGGCAGGTTGTGTAATTATGTCAAATTTGTAAGTTTTGTTGTATTTTTTTTTTTTTTAGGTGGTAGCCTTTTAAGATCATGTTTTGAAAATAGTTTTCGACGTATTTGCTTTTTCAGCTCAAAATAAACTCAAAAAACAAATTTCTGGGTTTGGGGATTTTTAAACCTAATGTTAAGTTTTACCAAACAAGATAGTATTGCGTTATTAATTTATGCTTTTTACTGTATTGTGGTACTTTGTTTTAAAGCCCTCTATTAATTGTCAGTGTGTAATCTGAAATGCAGAAACTGGTTTTGCAACACGTAGAGTGCTTCAGAGCCTCCTCCCTTATTGACTTGTTGCATGGTTTATTGAAGTTTGATCCATCACGTCGCCTCACAGCCTGGCAAGCCCTTGATCACCCTTTCTTTAAGAATCCATCATGAGGAGAATTACAATAGGAATATATGTATATATATATATATATATGTTTCGCAATGTTGGTCATGTGGAATGGAATGCTGAAGAGCTGGTTCAGGCCAAGGAAGGGCTTTGCCTTACAAATGTAATTGTACAAATGTTAGCTTCAATGCAATGCTTACAATGTTTATTCTTTGTTGTGAAGTAATGTTTTGTGCAAATAGAAATAAGATGCTGTGAATCAAAAATGTTGTATGCTTTGCTTCATAGCCAAATTTGCTTATGCGATCCTTTTGAAGTGTTTTGGGGAGGGATTAACGAGTTGCAGTTTTCAAAAAAAAAAAAAAAAAAAAAAAATCACTAATGCCGCACACGGACATATATCAAATATAGTCCCCGTGTGGGGCTCACACTCTGAAGATGATCGGTGTGTAGATCATCCAGCAACCCCACACCGAAGATGATCTGTGTGTAGATCATCCTGCATCTGAGAGCATCTCTAAGGTATATTTTATTTTTTCATAAATTTGAATAATGAAAAGTTTCATCTTATATCTCGAGTTCTAATGTTAATTTTTCAAGTTTCATCAAATAATTAGTTGATCGGGAGGATAACTGGTAATGGACAATTTTGCGAGCAGCAATTGGCAACTTTGCAAGTAGAAGGATGTGGATGATAATCGGCCGGTTGTCTAATATACAATGAAGTCTCAATGGGTATCTGTAAAAATTTGATAAACTCTGAAACCTCTTTCAATTTGATAAAAGTTTTGGATTTCTTTTTATTTGATATGGATTTGATATTATAGTTGGAATAGAAAAAATATACTTATTTTATCAAATTTAAATTTGAAAAAAAAAAGAAAGAATAAACATTGAAGACGCTCTAATGGTGATAATTTGTCATAGCTAATTGTTTGATAAACTGTAACTATGCGAAGTAGGGGCTTTGTGCTTTGGGGTGATTTGCAGTTTTCATTGAACTATATAATATATATTTGACTTGGGGCTAAATTTAAGTTGGATAAATAACAAAATGTTTTGAGTTTGAATTAAAACAAATTTTTTTTTTTTTTTATTACAGGAAAATCCTCTCACTCTCCCGCAGGTCCAAGCGGGGGAGTATTAAACCCGATCACCAGGGTGTCTGTTGTCTGTTCCAAGTAAGAGACTATAACCTGGAAGCTTGTCCCGACCTCCCAAGACAAACTCCGCTTAAGTCAAGACTCGCACAGCGGGGAAACATTAAACCCACACCAAGCTGCTGATTAGGCATCCTAAGGTCAACTTCCTAATCAACTATGCTACGCCCAGAAAATTGGCCCAGAGGGGAATCGAACCCAAGACCTAGGGGCATAAACCCAGGCCCTTACCAGGTTGCCACCCACCCCTGGGTTAAAAACAAATTTAACTTGGTAGAAATCAACTTGATTTTTACAAGTACCTAGTTCCGAGTAAGAGACTATAACCTAGGAGATCACCAGGGTGTCCTGTTGTCTGTTCCAAGTAAGAGACTACAACCTGGAAGCTTGTCCCGACCTCTCAAGACAAACTCCGCTTAAGTCAAGACTCGCACAGCGGGGAAACATTAAACCCACACCAAGCTGCTGATTAGGCATCCTAAGGTCAACTTCCTAATCAACTATGCTACGCCCAGAAAATTGGCCCAGAGGGGAATCGAACCCAAGACCTAGGGGCATAAACCCAGGCCCTTACCAGGTTGCCACCAACCCCTCGATTTAAAACAAATTTAACTTGGTAGAAATCAACTTGATTTTTACAAGTACCTAAAACAATATTATACATATATATATATATATAATATTTAAATAATTTATTTTTTTTCAATTGTTGAAGTGAATTCGTACTTGATTATTTTTTAATAAGTGCACTCATTTGCAACTTTAAATTAGTGAATTTAAATCCTATCCATTAAATATTTAAAATTATAAAATATGTACGTAAATTTAAGTACCTAAAACAATGTTATGTATATATATATATATATATAATATTTAAATAATTTATTTTTTTTCAATTGTTGAAGTGAATTCGTACTTGATTATTTTTTAATAAGTGCACTCATTTGCAACTTTAAATTAGTGAATTTAAATCCTATCCATTAAATATTTAAAATTATAAAATATGTACGTAAATTTATCATTATTTTAAATTAAAAAAATTACTATTATACTCATTGAAGTGACTAATGTTGAGGGTTACAATTCCGCTATGGAAAAAGAATTAATTTAGGAACTCACAATAATTCACTAAAAAATTTGAGTGGATGATTGTGTGATGTAAATTAATATATATAGTGTGGGGTCATGTAAGTGTATAGTGTGAGTAGAATTATAAAATGAAAATTTTGAATAATTTCTGAGTTGATAAAGGTTAATTGATATGAAATTATAGAATCCTACTATTAAAAATAATTTTTGAAAAATAAAAACAAATAAATGTATACAAATAAAAATAAAAATAAAAATAAAAAATGAAAAAAACGTAAATTAAAAAAAAAGAACCACAAAAATACGCCTATTTATGAATATATATTTATATATATATATTTATCAAAGAAATTTATGAATATATATATATATATATGCATCTGTGTGTAGATAACAGTGAGTATGTAACAAAAATTTATGAATATATATTTATATATATATATTTATCAAAGAAATTTATGAATATATATATATATATATGCATCTGTGTGTAGATAACAGTGAGTATGTAACAAAAATTTATGAATATATATTTATATATATATATTTATCAAAGAAATTTATGAATATATATATATATATATGCATCTGTGTGTAGATAACAGTGAGTATGTAACAAAAATTTATGAATATATATTTATATATATATATTTATCAAAGAAATTTATGAATATATATATATATATATGCATCTGTGTGTAGATAACAGTGAGTATGTAACAAAAATTTATGAATATATATTTATATATATATATTTATCAAAGAAATTTATGAATATATATATATATATATGCATCTGTGTGTAGATAACAGTGAGTATGTAACAAAAATTTATGAATATATATTTATATATATATATTTATCAAAGAAATTTATGAATATATATATATATATATGCATCTGTGTGTAGATAACAGTGAGTATGTAACAAAAATTTATGAATATATATTTATATATATATATTTATCAAAGAAATTTATGAATATATATATATATATATGCATCTGTGTGTAATGGGCCTGAAATGGGCATTTAATCTGTGTGTAATTTAAATTTAGTATTTCTCTGGTTGATCATAAAATGGGCATTCTCAGTTTGGAAGACAGAGGAATGTAAGAGAAATGTAATTGAGTTTATTTTTTTTTTAAACCAAGCCCAAGTCATACCAACCAGCCCTGCTTGCACACTGTTTTTCAATTGTCAGTTTCCTTCCAATATTTTAACTCTCTCAGCTACCTCTTCCATAAGAAAAAAACCTCCTTTGTATCCTGTACTATCCATTCTTCATTAGGTTCTTCTCAATAAGATTAGTTTCATACACAGCTTTTGCTTAGCCCACTGAAGAAACATCCTGCACTGTCATCTACTTTGGTAACTTCAGATCCTCATTCAAGAATCACACTAGGGACATTTCTCCTATGCTTGTGTTTTACATGAAATGCATGTTTGATCGCACTATAGCAATATTGTTGCTTAGTCAGGTAAATGCTTTTTATAAATGCTTATTGCTTTATACACAGCAGGTAGATACTCATTCAAGAATCACATTAGTTTCATACACAGCTTTTGTTTTTTCTTTTTTCAATTTTCTTTTCCTCCCCCCCCCCCTCTACAAACCCAATATCCTAAGTATTGTTCCACGCCCAAACATAAAATAAAATTAAAGATGAAAACAAGTAAAAGTAATGGACAGATTACACATTGCAAAATCCTATTGCTTTCAACACTAACAAAATTACACTTAGGAAGAATAATAGGTAAAACAACTTGAGAGATAAAAAAATTGGAAGAACGTCATCTTCTACTAATCAGTAGTTGAATCTGTTGGTATTTTTTATGCAGATAAACAAATGGCTTCATCTTCTACTAATAATACGAACTTTACATTCAAGCCAAGGTTTTGTAATTGTGGAAGAATAGCTGTATAGTAGCAACAGGTACAATACCATTATACAAGCCTCCTCTTCCTCCAAAACCCTGCTCTGCGACTCTGAACGAAGTGGATTCTAAAGCAGATCTCTTGCTCCGTATGAACATTGCAGACCAGAGAGAGAAGTACACAACTTGTTCTTCGTAGCAATTCAATCTCTTCAAAACCCTTACAATTGAAGAGAGAGAGAGAGAGAGTGAGAGAGAGAATGGCGTTCAGGTCGAAGGAGATGATGAAAAAGATAATGAAGAAGATAGGCGGAGAGAAGAACTTGGGTCCTGGGGTGAAGGAATCACTCAAGAAATGTGTACCTGACTCCAAGGTCGTCATGGGCAGGGCCCATCGCGGCATCTTCGCCGGCCGCCACATCCAGTTCGGTAACCGTGTCAGCGAAGACGGTGGCAACAAGTCCGTACTCTCTCTCTCTCTCTCTCTCTCTCTACATATATATGTATATCTATATATGTGCATTTATGAATGTGGATGTGGTTGCACTTGTTTGAAGGTTTGTAATTTGGTGGGTTTTTGGTTTTTATAATTATTGGTAATCTTTCATGGCATATCTTTATCTCTATATATACAAGGTTTAGGTGGTAGTTATAGATTGGTAACTAAGGAGGTTTAGGTGTGTTTTTATTTATTTATTTATTTATTTATTTTTGTAATGATTGGTGAATCTATTTAGGTATACCTTTCCAAGATCTAGGGGATTTGGTATTCAACTGGAATTTCTTGCCTTTGATGCAAGTGAGGTCCTGAGGCCTTTTGTTTGCACTTGGTGGTTAGTTCCTTAGTAGGCTTCAAGAATCAGTTTCTAGCTGATTTGAAAATCTCCATCTTTTCTATGGAAGCAATTTTGGGGCACTGGGAGGAGGCTTGGTAGAGGGTTTTAGATAGAAAGAACAGTTTCGGAGCAAGAGAGATATTGAGAGTGTGAAAAAGAGCAGTGCTATATATAGACTTATATAAACAGTCAACATGGAGATCGAGTAGGAGAAAGAGAACTAGTAGAAACCAGTGAAGAAGAGAAGTTGAAGGGGAAAGGGAGGCAACCAAAGAAGTTGTCTACTTGAGACCCAAGAAGGAGGGAAATGCACTAGAGTATTTGGTTAGGCTCTAACTTCTGGTATTCTAGAGGACTTAAATCTACCAATCTAAATTAATGAATGAAAACAGAGTTTGATCAAGTTTTTTATTTACTAGAGTTTGATATAGTATGAAATTTGGAAATTATGTACCCTCAACTTTTAGAATAATCACAATTTGATGGAGCAAAAGAAAGAGGTGATTTGAAAAGGTGAACACATTTGGTGAATGATGAAAGTAGGGTTGAAATCTCATGTGGTGGAATGCTTCTGTTCATGGAACAAGTGACAGGCCACATATAGAAAGCTTTCAATTGCCTTTAAGTTACGTGAGGAAAGAGGCCATTAAGTGGAGATGAAGAACATATAGAGGAAAAATTAGAATGAGAAGAGCAGTATAAAATAGAAAAGGGGTAGTCATCAAATGTTGTTTGCAACTTCAACCAACCTCTGTTCTTTACTTTTTACTTTTGTTTTTAATTTTAATTGTCATTTTTTATCCTCCGAATAAAAGGTGAAGCTTACTATATAAAGGAAAAAATAAAAACTGGGAAGAGCTGATTTGCTCTTCCCTTTGGTTTGCTAGGTTATTTGCTCTTCCCAGTTTTTATGGTGGGGTAGCCTCTCTCTCTCTCTCTCTCTATCTCTAGGGACATGATTCCTTTGTATTCATATCCTTACTGGTATAGGAGGCATCCACATCTACTTAAATTGTTGCATGCTAGGCACATACCAACTTGCATTGTCGCCTTTTGTTTAGTTGGGTATTCTCTAATGTTGCTTGTATATTCTTTTGATGTGATGAGTGACCCCATTGGCATAAGTGATCACATGCTAGGTTACATGGAAACTCTAAGTGTTGTTAGTGTGAGGGCACTTGTGGTGATGTAGAAACTTAGGGAACAATAATCAGGATCTTCGGATCTTTTAGGAAACAACAACCAAAGCAGGGTGCCTACGTTGTACACTTAAAGTATACATTATATTTATACCCCTATATCTCTACATAGAATTATTTAAACACTCGATGAGTAATATAGAATCATTCCCTCCTAACAATGAATAGGACTCTCATCCTCAAATTCTATTTCCTGAATATCCCATTCCCCATAGAGCATATCTTTTGTTGAACTTGTTTTACAACAGTGTGAAACAGTAGTATTATGAGGATAAATAAACGAATCACATTAGTTATAACAAGTGGGCTAGGTTGGTTGCAGAAGGAATTAATAATTAAACTTAAAATCTTATTTTGATATGCCCATGTACATTGAGAGATGAATGGAATATTTTGACGCAGTGCCCTTTTGATACCACCAGGAACCAAAAACTCTAAGAATCCAAAAAATAATGAAAATTTGAATCTATGTCTAATAGGTCTCCAACCAAAGAAAAAGTATTTTGGTTGGAGAGGAATCGACGGACGTTTCTCGAGATTACTCATTCGGTGTCTTGGCTTGAGAATTGATTGTTGCTTACTTTATGCACTTGGTTGGAGTCACAGGCCGACCCGGATATATTTGTTTTCATAGATTTTTTGGATAATGTTATTGGTTAGAAGTTCTAGGTTCATTGTATTCTTTGTATCTTTTTGATGCTTTTCTAATAAATTTAACTACTTATAAAAAAAAAAAAGAAGTATTTTGTTTTGGCTTTAAGTAGGCAAGGAAAATGATTGCTACACTTCAAATGTGAAGAATCTTTCTGGAGAAAAGTGATGGTCATTTCAAGGTTTGAAAATGTTTGAGAGATAAATCTACCCTAAACTTTTTCATTGTACTTGTCGCCTTCTTCTCCTCTGTTTAAATGAAAAAATACCGATAATTCTTGTTTCCTCCTATCACCAAATACAATTGCTTTTAAAATCTTGGATTTGGATTTGAGTTGTAGATTTTATTTGCTTGCTTCGATTACCATTCAGAACCATCCACGAGTTTAGTAAAATCAAACATTTTGTGTGAACATATTTTAAAATGCATTGTTTGGATGCTAAAAATTGGTCTATTGAATTTAGATATGGATTGGAGTATGATTTACATTTCTGTAGGTGCAGCTATGCAGTCAAAGGGAATGTGCCTAAACCGACCCCTTTCTTATTATTGTTTTTCCCAAATGTTTTTTGGGAACTATGACAATCCTCTGCTTGTGGGGATAGTATAGATATATTGAAACATCTATTATGCATGTATCGTTTTACTACTGACAGTGAAAACAGGCATTAATAGAGCATTTATTCAGTTCTATAAAGAATCCAACAAACATTTGTGTATGTATTCGTATGTACATATATATATACATATATGGGTTTTAGGGCTAGGCATGGGGTTTTTTTTTATTTTTTTATTTACGATGCATAAGATCACATGCATGCATAGTGTATATACATACATTTGTATATGAATAGTGATAGACAGGACAAGAAGCACTAGATTTTCTAGTGTCTGGACCAAAGTTCTGAAAGGCAATTGCGGTCGATGTAACGGTGGCGGTGGCGTGGTTGCAGTTACGGGATGTAAAGGTCATAGCGTAACGGTTGCGGTAACCGGAACCGTGAATTTTTTTATATTTTCCACAATTTGAAAAAAACTTACCGTTACGCATATTTTTTTTCCATGATCATATTTATTTTATTGGCTTTAAAATAAATATTGATCAATTTTTGTAAATTTTTAAGTATGATCCAATATATTTCATATTTTTAAATCACTATAAACTGAGTTTTTTACATTTAATTTTAATAATTAATGACTTCATATTATACAAAAAATCAATCACTAACTATTATATATAAGATAAACAACGATAAAAGTAAGAGAATAAATAAAAACCTATATATATATACATATTTTAACCAAGCAAAATAGATAATGACCACACTTATTATTATTATTATTATTATTATTATTTTCAAACAATATATAGATAAACACACACAAACAAAATGGTTGAGTGATAGCAGCTGATAAAATAGCGTAAGTCTTACAGTTTAAACAAATTAATAACATGTTTTTCATTTTCCCTCTTCTTTCTCTATCTCTTGCCCCTCCATCTTCTTTCTTTATCTTCTCTCTATCCCTCTTCCCCCATTTTTAATCTTTTTTTTGTGTGTTTTTTTTGAAAGAAACAGTTCGGAACCGTTACGTAACCGTGTGTAACAGGCTGTTACGGCACATTATTATTATTTTCAAACAATATATAGATAAACACACACAAACAAAATGGTTGACTGATAGCAGCTGATAAAATAGCGTAAGTCTTACAGTTTAAACAAATTAATAACATGTTTTTCATTTTCCCTATTCTTTCTCTATCTCTTGCCCCTCCATCTTCTTTCTTTATCTTCTCTCTATCCCTCTTCCCCCATTTTTAATCTTTTTTTTGTGTGTTTTTTTCGAAAGAAACAGTTCGGAACCGTTACGTAACCGTGCGTAACAGGCTGTTACGGCACCGTTACGACCGCTATGGCCGACACACCTATGAATCTCAATCACACTGCAAAAGCGGCCGTAACGGGTGGCGGTAACCACTACAACCGTTACGTAACAACGTAACGGTTGCAGTCGCTTTTTAAAACCTTGCTCTGGACAATTCACAACATGTGTATGTGTATTGGAAGGAATTTTATACTGGCAACCTGGATTTGAATATCTACCCCAAAATTGCTTTCCTTGGTGCCCACATATATTCAATTCATGGATCTAGAATTGGTGATCATCCATCATCTTTTTGTTTGTTGGATAGATAGTTCTCTTTCAAATATTTTAATTAGAGAAAAAAAAAAGAAGAAGAGGAAGAAATCAAGAGTTCCCTTGAATAGCTCTCTACTAATAATGAAATTAGTAATGTTGGAACTATGGAAGTTTTTTTTTATTTTTGCGAAATTCCATTTTTAATATTCTTTAAACCCAGTAAAGAGATCAAATCCTTTGCCACTAGTTGACTTGTGTGAATAAAATGGACTTGTAGCTGTCCTTTCAAACACCTGCTGCTCCCACTTGCTCAGAATTCCCGTGGGTGCTTTCTGCCCAATTTGACTTTGCATAATTTATGTGAGGGTGTAGCAATTCATGAAGATGGAGGAAAAGATGTGACTGCCAATCTCATAAAATTAGTGCCACTAAGATTAGAAGAGCCAAATGCCTAGAAAGAAACTGAAAGTTTTCTCATGTCAGATTTCACGGACCTGCAAAAGTATTCCAAGCCGTGTTTGCTCTGCTATACCAAAATAGAATCATAGATGGTACCTTCCAACTCCCATTTGCCATGAAAATTCTGACATGCCTGTAAAGAAAGAGTATTTAACTGAGGAGATATTCTTTGGAGGAATTGAATGTAAACAACATACTCCTAGAATCCATCGATTACCCATTTCATTTAAACAAGAATTAGACAAGTTACATATGATACGTAATGACTTGCACTATATGAAATCATTGCTAGTTTCTATATGTACTAGCCTCCATGGATGATACTTTTGGAAGAAACATTGTTTAGTCTCTTCATATTTTGTGAAACTAATGAGACAGCTTAGACATGTTCTCCTTGGTTATTTTTATGCTTCAAATTCTCTTGTCATTCATTGATTGAAAAGAAAACGAGTGGATTATGCTTCTCAAGGCTTTAATGCAATGGTGGTAACAGGACAAGGAGGAACTGGAAACCAAACGTACAAGAGAAGCGACTCTTCAGTTACATCCTAGACCGACACATTCGTGTAAAGGTAACAACCCATGCCCTCCGTTGCATAGACAAGGCAGGTGGGATCGATGAGTACTTGCTGAAAACGCCATATCACAAGATGGACACAGAGATGGGCCTCTTCTGGAAAGCCAAAATTGAGAAAATGTACGAAGAGCTTGGGGAAATGGAGGTAGTTTTCTTTTCACCCGAGGATGAAGCTAAGTTTGAAGAGGGCTTTAAAGAATTGAAACTAGCTGAGAGGGCGGCTCGTAGGGATGCAAGAAGACAGATGTATGGATGGTCGGGCAAACAGAAGCAGATCGAGCAAGGTGTTGAAGATACTGATGGGGAGGGATTGCATAGTGATGTTCCTGAGCAGCTGATTGCTAATTCTTAAGTGTGAGCTGTGTTGAAGGCCCGGTCATAGTTGTGTTGAAGCCTGTCATGTCGGGTTTATTTTTGGTTTTTGTGTTTTTTTGTTTTTTTTAGTACTGTTACTGCCTGATTTTGCAGTTTTGTAGCTCTTATACGTTTTTGTAATTTTGGAGCTGATATCCTAGTATTATGAGTCATGGTAACTTGATTGCTTTTATTTTCATCATGGATATTGGTTGAATAAGAACTACTCTGATCAAAAACAAGATATGAAATCAGTATTTTGCTGATTTATGAAAAAAAAATTGATTGCGCCGATTTTTTTTTTTTTTTTTGGGACAAGTAAGTCATATTATAACTAAAAAAGAAAATATACAATGAAATTCAATACACATCTTTTATGGAGAGAACAAACATAAACAAAAACAAACTACTCCTTCAAAAGAAAAAACAAGGGTAAACTACTAATAGGTCTTAATAGTTGAGCTTAATTCCCATCAAGTCCTATTTGTTTTTTTTTTTTTTTTTTTGGGACAAGTAAGTCATATTATAACTAAAAAAGAAAATATACAATGAAATTCAATACACATCTTTTATGGAGAGAACAAACATAAACAAAAACAAACTACTCCTTCAAAAGAAAAAACAAGGGTAAACTACTAATAGGTCTTAATAGTTATAGGTCTTAATAGTTGAGCTTAATTCCCATTAAGTTCTATTGGAAATAAGTTTTGGTAAAATTGTTGTTAAAAATAATTTTTTTGTGACAATTTTTTATATGTCACTAAAAATTGACAATTAATGACTTTTTTTATGACATTTTTTTCATAGGATAAATAATAAGTTCACTTATTAAGATTTACACGTAAGAAACAAACTAAGTTTATAGAAGACAAACACGACAAAGGATTCAAAATTTTCCTTTAGTACTTTTCAAATAATGAAATTTTGTTATGAGTGTTTTTCTATTATCTTCATTTATAGTCTCCCAATTACTGAGATCACTTAGAGATGGACTCCTTATACTTTTTAAGCTCTTCTTCTGACACAACAACTCTTAATATAATTCTTTATTTCTTAATTCTCTTATATCACATGATTTAAGGATATCAAAAGTATTAGACGTAGTCATATTATTTCAATTGGACATCCTAAAATTTGAGGATGTCCATGAAATTGTATGTTGGCTATGCTATAACGAAAGGAAGAAAAATAATTTTGTCTCCTTTGCTAGCAATGTTAAAGTGGTGTTTGAATCTTAAATTTGTAGAAGAAAAAAAAAATTGTAAGAATAATTTAGCTAGGCCTCTTTTGGAAGTGATTTATAAGTTGGTTTAATGATTTTTTTTGACTTATTTGAGTCATATTGGTTCTGTTTATTATCTCTTTAATTTTTGTACATCTTTTCATAATAAATAAATGGGAGCTGTTGTAGTGTGCAAGGCTTGAAACTTGCATACCATATGCAAGTTAATTCTCAGCCATTAAATTTGATTAAATTAATCTAAATCCTTCAATATTTTATACAGTTTATACCATTTACCTGCTAAACCGGTTGAAACTTTCCCGGCCATTCTTCCTATTTTCATCAGTCACCTCTCTCTGGTTTGGCTAAACATAACTCCTCTCTCTCTCTTCTCTGGTCGTCTTCCACGAATGGAGATCGAAGTCGCAGGCTGTGCAAGGATTGAAGAGGTAAAATTTTCTCTCCCTTGCTCCGAATCTATGGTTTCTCTCCCTCAGTCTCTCTCTCTCTCTGATTTCTCTTGCTCATTATCATCTCTCACTCTTGTCTCTTGCTTTCGGAGGCTTCTTGAGGATCTCTATCCTCTCCAGTAGCTTATTGGTTCAAAAGAGTTCTCATTGAAGAGGTATGGTTTGAAATTCCTAAAGCCCTATTTCTCGATAAATAGGTAATTTCACGAATCAAACAGTATCTCGCACAACTTGATTATAAGATATATTGGGTGAAATTTGTTGGTAGAATTTGATAGATTATTAGTTAATAATGGATTCTTTGCCTAGTTGGTTACTGTCTTACTTGTTCTTTTTTTAATTTTGTTTTCTATATTTTATCTCGTCTCTTGCCTATTCACAGTTTGAATGTAATATTTGTTTCATGGCCTCATGGGTTTCAATTGAAAAATTAGGGATTGAAAAAATTAGGTTTGGGGTTGGGATTATTCCTATATCCATTGTAGTTAACTTATTATATTTTTATTTGATTAAATTGTCTGTGTAATTTGATTTTGATTTTCATTTAGTTGGTAAATAGGATAAATTATTCAATGCTCGTGGAGCAATGGTAAATAGGAAATTCAATTTAAATTTTTATGAATTTTTATTAGCCCAGATGAAAGGTAAAATTGAATTCATAAATTAAACTGTATCTAGCACAACTTAATAGTTTCTAGTATTGATTTTGCCCTATGATGAGGTTCAGGTTGTTCACTTAGTAAGATGACACTGCCTTAATGAAATTCAATTTTATTTAATTTTGTGATAAGTACGTCTATTAGGATAGATAAACAAGTGCTATAGTGGCTATGTGTTTCCTTGGTAGAGGCCCGACCTGCATGTTCTTTGCTTTCCAAACTAAACCCTGGGGAAATTGAGCTGGATAGCAACTTGAGTTTAGTACTGTCCTTTATCTCCATTCTCTTCTTGCTTCATTTTTTTCTTTTTTCTTTTTTTATAAAATGTTTTGATAGTATTTTCTTTTGTAAGGTACGGAGACTCAAACTTTAGTCTGTTTATTAAGGTAATGTGACCTACGCAACTGGGGTATCATTTTTTGCTTATTATTAGATTTTTTTTATAGTGTTTTTCTTTTTTACATTGGAAACTTAGTCCAAGTGTTTGTTAACTAGATTATTATTCAACAAATCCATTCATGTGTGCATGTGGTGCAATTGATGAATGTATTGTACAACCTAGATGTCGTAGGATATTTTCAATTCTCACATTAAGTATATATGTCAACTGAATAAATGTACTATAACCTTTAAGATTTTTGTTTGTTGGTTTTTTCCCTAGTCAAAGATATTAGAAGTTTATTTTTCTTGTCTTTCTTCACAAGGAATTCTGATTGAAGCCTAATGGATTAGTTACATGTGGTTTAAGATTCATGAGAATCGTCTTAATAATTCTATTTTTCAGGAACCATGTTAACCTTGTCGTGGTGATATATTCCCACTCTTTTTAGTTGTGCGTGTCCTTTAATTATTAAAAAGAGAAATCATTCTTATTCCAATTTGAATTATGAATTTTTTGTTTTATAAATAATTTCTAGTAGTCGCGAGATATATTGAGGGCTATGACATTATGATTCTTTTTCTATTTAATTATGTGGTTGTTAATTGTGAGTTTTTACCAGTATCTTCCAAGTGTATACCTGGTGGATGTGTTGGTGTTAATGGGTTAGATGTCTTGCTTGGGATTGATGTGAAAATGTTCTGCTCATCTTCAATTTATTCTTATGGATTAACATCATATAAAATTTTGAATTTGTTAGAAAGAAACTTGAATTTTGTTTGCATATTTATAGGTTTTCTTGTTTTGAGAAATTAGATTTGATTGAATGGTCGAATGACATAGAAGGGAGTTTTTTTCTTGGTCTTAAATGCGTGGGTTTACTCTGTTTTGAAAATTACTATATTTAAGTGAGAACAAATGATTTTGGGTTTACCCTTGTATTAAAATTTGTAAATAATATGAACAAGTATGGAAACAGTGAAACAAATTTGGAGATTGAATTGATTTGCAGTTGTATCCTATACGTTATCTTACTGAAACTAAAAAGTTTGGTCATATGTCTAAAAATTTACTTACAAAGCACTTTTTCTTTTTTTTTTTGAATAGCAAGAAAACAATATTATTGAACTAAAAGGTGAAAACAATATTATTGACAAGATGCCCTTGTACAAAGTGTTGGAAATGGTTATAAAATTCTGGATAAAACCAGAATTTTTTCCTAAGTTCGGTCTATTTTTTAGGTGGGCCCCGAGTGTCGATTTACTCGGGTCAAAGTGGTAACGCGTTCTATGCCGCGTTGTGACCACCTAAGTATAACAAACAGCAGCCCAATCCGTAGTAATCGAAATTTAGGGGTATGTCCTTGAAAAAGGGAGACACACAGGCCCAAAGTGACATGAGATGCCTCACCTTATCCAACAGAGCATCAACTTTAAATTCCTTTTCATTAAAAATTCTATCATTTCTTTCCAACGAAATGGTCCAAAAGATAGCAAAGATAATGCAGGACTACAATGTTTCGGCCTTCTTATTGCTTCCAAATCTGCCATAGGAAACCAGTAGGAAAGCACATTTTCTTTATTTATTTATGCTGATTTCAAATTGAGGCTGCATATACTCTGGAAAGATTGACGGGTTGATATGGACTATAGGAAATCCAATAGGAATTTGCATTTGGGCTTTTAGAAAAGGTAATAGGCAATGATTTAATGAATGGTATGGGCACATTAAGCTAAACTGTTAAAAGAGTTTGTGTAGTTGGCCAACAAGTAAATTACTCTTTTGGTTGGTGCAGTGCTTGTCTAGTTGCATGTGTGTAGAAATTTATAGGACACATGTTATATAAATATGTGAGTGCATTTCGCTGTATTACAATACTGCTATTTTCATTTGATTATTTGAACTTGTCTTTTTAAACTATTAGCCTTGTTCTACATTTTATAGTGTTTATCATGCTACTTGATTTTTATATCAAAATATAGGCATAGTTTAATTAAGACCATACCTACTGCTTCTGGGAAGAAGATAAACAAGAGTATTTTGGTTGGTCTCTATTATCAGTTGGGTTTTTTTTTTCATATGAAGAGCTTCTTTCCTTTATGACCGTTACCTCTCTTTCAATTTGTTTGTTGAGTTGTGTAGAGTTGGGTTAACAAACCAACTATGCAATGCAAGTGTGCATGTGTATGTTTTGAATTATTAAAGCACACCACATATTCTACAATTAACTTGGAAAATGAAACTATGACTACAAGGAGCAGAAATAGAATTGATTTTAGAAGTGTGAAAAAGATGGAGAAATTGATCAATCATGAAAAAAACATAAAGCCGGTGCATGCCAAAAATCGATTAAGAGAGAAACAGATTGGCTTCTCATAAATTGATTTGAGAGAGAGAGAGATGGGGGGTTATTGTTGCAGATGGAGGGATTTTGAGTTTTGGAAGTGGTAGAGGGGTTGGAGTTAGAATGAATGAGGCTTTGGTAGAGGGAAATCATTGAAGTGAAGAGGGCAGAGAGAGAGAGAGAGGTCCTTATATACCTGATATCTATCTGGTTGGAGAGAACACCTTCACTTCAACAATGGAAGCCAATAGAGGCTTTAGTCTCGTTGTGGCTGGAACTCAACAGAGGATACTAGTTATTGCAGGAAATTAAGGATTACACAAAGATAGTGAGAGCAGCAGAGGAGGAAGAGAATGAGTGAGAGACGAAAAAAGAGAAAAAGAAGCATAATCCTTGTGGATGTGGGGGAGTGAGAGGAAAATAAGAGGAGAGAGAGTTAACCGGTTGCTCAAGTTTCCCATTTTCTACCATTAAACAATTCAATGGTCTTGATTAATTGTTTGTAATCTAAGGGCAGATAATTGGGTTGCACATAATGGGTTGCACACCTAAACAACTCTCATAAGAAATTTACATAAAAAAATTCTAAGATTTGACATCACCAATGTGATGACCGGGTACGTAACCTGTCTTACTTTTCTTTTGTGCGCGTGGGTTTAACACCTTTGAAATCTATTTCTCAAAATTTTTGTCTCTACTAATTTTAATTCTGAGTTCCACTTGTTTCAGGAGGCTTGAAGTTGAGTCCGGGGTTTACACTTGAGCTGGAGAATTTTCTGGGCTAAGGGCTAAGCTGCACGTGTGGGGGCCTTGGGCCGCATGTGCGGGGTTGGGGCCACACGTGCAGGAGATGAGGCCGCACGTACGGAAAATAGGGGAGGTTCTGGGTTGGTCACTGCAATATATGCAGGTGCGGGAGTGGAAGTATATATGAATTTGTTGTGGGAGTTTGTAGAAAGAGGCGTCTTTTGATATTGTGATTATTGAGGAGAATTAAAATGATGACTCGAAATCCTAATTTCTCTTCCATTTAAATTTGATGCCGGAGTTTTTAGTATTAGGCATTGGTTGTCATTGTAATTAGAATTAAAATGATGAGTCGAAATTCAAACAAAATTTTCTTCTTTTTTTTTTCTTTCAAAAAACCCTTTTTGACATATAAATTTGTGTTTGATAGGTAAATAAGACCTCAATCATAGTAGATGCATCCAAGTATATAGAGGAGCTGAAGGGAAAAGTAGAGAGGCTAAGCCAAGATGTTGCAAGTTCACAAAGTTCAAATAGACAAAACTCATTGCCAATGGTACATATTTTTAAAAACAACTGTGCTATCCTTTCTTTAATATCATGTATAAAATCATGAAAATTAGTAACTTTTTTTTTTCATTTATTATATTTCAGTAAGTTACTGTGGAAACCTTAGAAAAGGGTTTCCTAATTAATGTGTTTTCAGAAAAAAAAAATGTCCTGGGTCGTTTGTCACCATACTGAAAGCCTTTGAAGAGCTGGGCCTTGACGTGCTTGATGCTAATGTTTCCTGTTCAGACAATTTCCGTTTAGAAGCTGTTGGAGGAGAAGTAAGGAATTATCTTCTTTTCCTTGTGTGTGTTGTTTTTTTATGATTTATTTTGATTCATCGTAGCTTGGATCATGATTTTGAATATCGGCAGATACATATACTGGTCGATACAAAATGTTTGTTATGCTTAATAGTTTTAGTGTGATCTATATTTGTATGAATTATGCCCTTTGCTCAAGTAGTTTTTTTCTTCGGTAAAAGACGTGAAGTTTCTTGTCACAGATGTTACAAAAATGGCAACTTTGTTGATTCTCATGGAACCTTGCAGAATTTTTTTTCAATAACTTCTTTTTTCTTTCAACTGTCATTCGTATTCCTTTTTAATTATTCTTCATCTTGATGAGTTTGATCCAATATTTTTTTTTAAGGCTAGAAATAGTTGGAATTGGTTATTGACCTCCTAGATGGAACCTTTTCTCTCTCACATATTGTACTCACTTTCTCCAAGTTTGTTGAGAAGGCACATATTAATTTGTACATGATAGATATTACTAGGTGTGCATTTAATTGTTGATTATTTTTCATTGTTGAATGTATGAACAAGTCCTTTTACTAAATTCTCTGGCTTTTTATGAACCAACAATCAATTGCTAAATGAATTATTTATATTTTCTATTTTATTTTTGTGGTTTTGATATACTAATTGGGGTTTGTGAAAAATATTATAGGGTTTTGAGGGTCGTTGAATTCGGTGGCTAGTGTTAATGCACCTAAATGAGTTGTCTCTTTAGTGTGTCAATGGTTTCTTTATTGAGTTACAATATGTTTTCTTTATTGAGTGTCAATGGTTTCTTTATAGAGTGCCTATACATTTTCTCGATTAATTTATAATCTTCATGGTTACTTGATAATGAGTTTCAATTTTTTTTTTCTTCTCAATTATGCTACGTAAGGTCCCAAATTTCATAGTGGGTTTTTCTAATTTTGTTCTCGTTCTTAATTGTAGTGTTCACTGCGTTTGCAACTCAGAGCTTTGTCTTACGACCTCTACCTGTAGACACTTTGTAGACACTTCTCTCAAAGCAAATATAATGGTTTGTGGTTTGGCTCCTTTTCTGTTTCATTTCTTCTCTAAATCCAATATTTGAGAATTTGATTCAGCATATTTTGTTTATTTGGGCATAATCTTTTTTTTTTTTTTTTTTATGTGCGTGTCTATATGTAATATGTATACTTTGTATTCTATAAAATGCTTCACCCAACGCAGTACATGTTGTTCCCCCTATAATTGCTGGAATTTATAAGGTTCTCGAGAAGTATATTCTTTTTTTGTTTTCTCTTTTGAATATGTTCTATTTTGTCTATTTTTGTTAACAATGGTGATATTTTATGCTTATTTAAATTTCTTTTCATTATTTAGAGACAATACTTTAGACTTGTTGAGTAGAATATTCATGCAAAAATCAAGATGATTGGACATCGGTAGCTATATGTTCGAATCATATTTGTTTTAAAATAATGGACGACAAATATAATTTCAATAATAATCATCCATTTTTTGTAATACAATTTCATATTTTACTTCGTTAAGGTTGGCTTATACAATAAAATACGCCTATGGAGACAGATGGCAGGTAATTAGGACATGTAGGTTGAAAGTTAGTAAAATACTCCTTAAACTTTGTCGAAAAGGGCGTTCTGGGGTGAAAATGTGAAACAGCCCCTAAACCACTCTGGAGATGTCATGAGAAGATTGATCGTGACAAATACGACTTGTGGGAACCAAATACATGTAATTAGGACTCGTAGGTTGGAAGTTAGAGTAAAAAACGCCATAAACTTTGTGAAAAAAGGGCGTCCGATGGGCAAAAAGGAGAAACAGCGTGCGAACCACTCTGGGGATGTCACAGGAAGCTTGCTTGTGATAAATATGACCTGTGGGGATAGACAACATGTAATTAGGACACATAGGTTGGAGATTAGAGTTCAAAACGCTTTAAACTTAGTTGAAAAAAGGCGATAAGAGGGGGCAAAAATACGAAACAATGCGTAAACCACTCTAGGGATGTCACCGGCAGCTTGCTCGTGACAAGTACGACTTGTTGGGACATACACTACTAGAAAAGGGAGTATTGGACACGGAACCTTTTGCGATGGTGTGAAAATCGTCGCAAAAATCATGTTTTTGCCACGGCAAACGAAGCCGTCGTCAATTTAATTTTTTTTTGTGATGGAAAATCTAAGATCGTTGCAAAAAATAGTATTATATGCGACAATTTGTTACCTGTTTTTTTTTTTTTTCTTTTTGCAATTGTTTTAATCTTTTTGCGACTCCTTTTATTCCTTCGTCGCAAAATGTTCTATTTTTTCCTTCCCTCTTTTCCCACTCTTCCCTAACCCTCTTCCCTATCCTTTCAGTTCTTAGATCAAAAAAGAAAAAAAAGGGAAAAAAAAAAAAAAAACCATCCATCTTCTCTTAGTCATCACTGTTACTCTCTCTCGCTCCCAGTCGTCTCTCTCTCTCGCATCCCCAACACCTCTAGTGTGGGAAGAGTTCCAGGTAACCCTCATCTCCTCTCCTCTCTTCTTCTTTCTTCTCATACTCGCTCACACAGACCCTAACAATCTCTCTCTCTCTCTCTTGCTTTCGCATTACCCTTACGGACTGGTTGTAGCAGCAGCGGCAGAGATTTCCCACTTCGGACACGGCCCACATATATTTTATAGTTCTCTGTTATCCAGGCATAATAATGCTATGTAAAGTATTTCCAGTTCTATGGAAAAAAATTACCCATATGGTTCTCATATCTGACTTATATGACTGTCCATTATCATTACCGTTAGTGTAAGAGGAAATTGCTTTGTTATATCTTTCAATGACCTTATCTTGTATTTACCCATGCTTAACTATCATATGCTTAACTATAAGCTTTGTCATTAGTGTCCTTGGTGGCGCAAGTTCAAGTTACGGAAACCTCCTCTCTAGAAATGAGGGTAAGGCTGTGTTTTTCTTGCCCACCCTAGACCTCGCTATAATGGGAAACTTGTGCATTGGGTCACCCTTTTGTACCTGAATTTTATGCATATTGTGAGGATAGCAAATCCATAGCTGGACAGGCCATAGGTTTCGTTGCCATTTTTGTTGTTACTTCTTTCTGTTTATTTTCTTTTTATTTTCTCCTGCATGGATTGGTCAGAAAATCATTTTTTCAATTGACTGATGTCTGATCTTCTGCAACCATATTTAATGCTTGACAGTACTTTCATGGTTCATCTTTAGAAGAGAAAATACTTGTTTAATTGCAAGGAAATCCATTTTCCTCTTACTATGTTACTCACAAGTCACAATATTCAGTTTTCTTCCTCAGTAGTGAGTTTCCACATCTGAAATTGAGAGCAAGTAGCCTTGTTGTTTCTTGAGAATAGATAGAAACCTACTGTCACTTGGTGAATATTGGCCAAGAACCTTTGTATTTGGGAAATTTTTGTTTTAAATGCTACTTCTTTTCCCACAGAAGCAGGTATCAAGATCCATCATTTCTTGACTTGTGTAATTGATGAAGAAAACCTAAGCAATTGGGAAGATACATTGTTAACTGACTGCTTTCCTTCAATTGAGTTCTTTACAAAGCAGAGATTATTAGTTGTCTCTGTAATTCCATGCAGTTAGGTCAATATAATTGCTCTTTGATGGATAGAATGATGTATATTCTTAAGTTAGTTTAGGCACTCTATGGAATTAATGGCTTCCTATATTCATGGTCGCAAATGGGTCTTGTGATGAAAATTGGAGCCATCACTATATCTGATAATTACATGAAAATTTTTAGTTCCTCTTGAATGGCAGTTTTTTCTTTGGAGTCAACTCTGTTTTTTTCATTTCTCTCCAATCTTTATTCAATTGTCTATTGAGCTGCTTAGATTTGCTACGAAATCAACCGAATAGCTCCAGCGCATGATATACATCTAATCCAGCATCACTGTTTGTGAGATGGCAGCCAATTTGTTCATGGGCCCCAATATAGGTGATGATTATACATCTAGTGCACATTTGCTTGTGGGAATCAAGGTTGGGAATTGGCATCCTGTTGAATTTCCCAAAGGACTGGGCCACATTTGTTGTTTATAAAGATGGTAAATCCTTTTCTTAGGGAATATGATAGAAAAACATTCAAGGAATTTCTATCCCAACCAGTTTTTTCTTTGTTTTTTTTTTTTTTTGGAGGGGAGCGGGGGGGGGGGAGCATGGCATGGGGTTAGTATCATTTCACTATCCATGGGTGTAACGCCCTCAAAATAATAACATTAAACCCATCAAATAAGACATGCGTTGTTATGTAAAAGTTCCACATTCTTCCATTTATCAGAATTCCATTACATAAGTATTACATGTTAACAACAAAAGCAAATGCCCTATGGGCTTACAGCTTTCCAAGTTAACACTTGGTTACAACCAAAGAGTACTAACTCATTACACATTAAGCCCTTGGCTTGAATTTACATGTAATACATCAAAAAGTAAAACGACAAAAGTATGTCCGCCTCTAGCCTCCCAAGCTATGTCCTTGGAGGTGGCATGCTACCTGTACCTGAAAATGATATTCCCATATAGGGTGAGCCACAGCCCAGTAGAAATACACTAAACCAACCATGAACAATGACTAAAAGATTAGCAATTGATAGATGGCCAACACTGATACATCTACATAAATCACATATTATGTCATACGACTTATGAGTCCAAGTTACTTTTCATTTTCCCTTTTTCAACAGATAGACATATAAGCTCTATTTACATTCTCAACAGATATGTATAAAAACTATATCCCACATTCACAGATAAGCATATAAGCTATATCCACATTCTCAACAGATATATATAACAACAATATCCCATATTCACAGATAAGCATATGAGCTATATCCACACTTCACAAAGATAAGCATATAAGCTCTATCTTCACTTCTCTAGACAAGCATATGAGCTGTATCTACGGAGTTCATCCCCTATCTTCTCCCAACACTATCCGGTTTAGAGGTACATCCCCCATCTTCCCCTAAACCACGGAGTACATCCCCCATCTCCTCCTCTACACATAACGTATACAAACACATTGGTTCTATATACAATCACTCAATACATAAAATTAATGTATTCTATCAACCGACATGCTCTATGACACATCCAATTGATTAGTTTTAGTTTGCCTAATCATCATTCATGGCCATCTACTGTCCACCCACGTGTCAATTATTTATACAAAACCAATATTTGAGGCATTTAGGGCAAAATTCCTTTCCTTTCCAAAGTCAACTCCAAGTATCAAAATCAACCATTTCTCCCCAACTCAACATTATTTCCAATATCAAAATCATTCTTAAGAACCCATGTAAAAAAACCCCTCTTTTGATTTTAACCCAAAACCTTAGATTTGTCCCAAATCTTCCAAAATCTCAATATTGTTTAGAAATAACAAATAGCTAAGTTAAAGCTCATAAAAAGGGTGGAGATATCCCTACCTTGAACTTAGAAGACAAGAGAGAGGATGTAGAAACTTCAAAGACGCCGAAAATTGACTTTACTCCGATCAAATGGAAGCTCTAGGTGAGCTCTACCTTTTTAACAAAGGGACTAGGGTGTAGAGATCAATCGATGATAATGTATTTGAGGGTTGAAAGTTTTACAGAGAGAGAGAGTGAGAGATATTAGGGTTTTGAAATGTTTAAAGAGAGAGAAAGATGAAAAAGTGACTTGAAATGGGCTGTTTGCGAACTGATATACGCATAATTTGCTCGAGCTTGCTCGAGCGACCAGACACAATAAGTTGTTCCACTTGAGCGTAGAATACAATCTTCTAGAAGTTTTACAGACAGAAGACCTTTGCTTGAGCGGAGAATATAAACTCCCAGTAGTTTTGCAGACAGAACTTCTCGCTCGAGCGAAGAGTCAAAAATCTGGGCAGCAACACTAGGCTCCCAAACACAACCAACCTGAAACAAACCTGCCCAACACATCCTATAACTCAATATACAAAGTAAAGAGGATGCAAACTAGATAATAAACAACTACCAACATCCACGGACACATGTCCGGATCACTGTACAACAAGGGTAAACCCGGGATCGCTATAACGGGAATTATAGCTTAAGCATGAAAGGAGTTCTTATGGCCATGATTATTGAGCCAATTAGTTTATTAATAATAAATTAAAGTACTCAGAATTATTTTCCTGATAAGTGAAGTCTCAGAAATATTAGCCGTATTAAAATAATTTAAAAAAAAATACATTATGGAGATTGCTAGAATAGTGAATGATTAGGCTGCGAAGTTTGAGAACATGAGTTCAAGTCTAAAGAGCAGATGTGTTGTGTAAATATAGCTTTGTAATATTATAATCTTGGTAATGATGACATCCTTATCTAATAGCACAAACCCATTTCTTTACTGACTTTGTCACGAATGAAAATTATGTTTTTTTTATTAGTTCCAATTTACAAAATTTAATTTGGTTGTCTTGTTGACAGTTACTTTGCGCCTGATAAGCTTTGGGTATGACTACCATTGGGCATCTCGTAATTCTTCTTTCGATCAGAAGGCTCAAAAGAAAGAGCATTGACCCACAACTTTAAGCCATCACTCTCTCCATAAAGAGCAGAGTTAGCAACCATGTCAGAATTACAGGTAGTAACTTAACCATGCCCATCACTCCCATCCTTGGTCATTTGCTTAAGGACGATCTAGGTTCTGTTATACAATTTTCTCACTTCATTAGATAATTTAGATTTAGCAGTAGTGTTTCAAGAGGTTAGGTTGGATTTTTTAGAATTGAAAAAAGAAAGAGTATATTGAGCAACTGTAAATTGGCCAAATTAGTAATGAATCGCCATAAAACAGACAAAGGACAGAAGACTCATTCCTCTAAGTACATCTTAAGTCAATTAGTATAGCTTGTAGAATTATAGTTTTTATTAAAGATCGATTGTGATTGGTGATCTAATTGTTACGGTGAGACCCACATTTTTTTTGGTGATGCAAAGAAGAAAAACAATTTGAATTTTCTTTTTCCTTACCTTTCCCATCAATTTAACCTAACCTACTTGTCCCGGATAAAATACAACCTCTATCTTCATCTGAAAAAATTGTTCTGCTTTTTAGTTTGAAATTCATGTTAAAATTTTCTGCTAAGTATCTAAATTGAATTTATTCTGATGCGAAAGGAATTTCTGAATTGTGATATCTGATTGGCCAAGGAAAGGGGATTAAAACTTATACCTCTGCTTCATGTTGTCTTCTAAGCATAAAACACGGATGTTCATCTACAAAATGTTAAAAAAGGAGCCACAAATTTTAGTTCTTGTGTAAAGCACACTTATGAAAAAGGGTTTATTGTATGAGGTTTGAATTCCATTTAAACTGTTTTGAGTGTTCATTAGTGACTAATTATGTACGATACTTACTCTATTTGTTTTTTTTAAGCCGTTACACATTGCCTTAGATAAAGGTTTATGTGTAGTTTCTTGTTCAGTAATTTGTATGCCTCCATTTTGCAGGTCTACGGGCATATAGTTTGACAGTTGATCATTATCACAACTCTTGCTTCTCACATGAAAGGCATGCATAAAGAAGATTCTACTTAGTAACTGTCTCCAAGAACTAATGGAACTACACCAGGTTATATGCTTGCAATTATTCCCAACTCACTAACCATCTGCAATAGGAAGATATTATATTTTTATTTAGGCTGTTTCTACTGTCTTTGGTAAATTTGTTAATCTTTAACTTTGAAAGTGTTCTCTCTATTACTTTGCGGGAATTTGTTAATCTTTAATTTCAAAAGTGTTGTTCTCTCTGTAGCTTTGCGGGATTACCATAAAGTGATTTGTTATAGACGTATAAAGGATGATCATTTCCATATATTATTCCCTACCTTGCCGTGGTTCCATTGGTGGTAATAGTTCCACATTAGACTCTTAGATTGCTGCTATTATGAGTTGAGAAAAGTTCACATCTATGTATGAGATTTATCTTGCAAGGCTAATCCATTTAATAGAATTTCTGGATGTGTTTGTTGCTGATCTAGTTCATTTTTGTCTACTTGCAATCTTTATTCACTTTAAATTGTTTGATAGACATTAGATTTTGTTCCTTTGCTATGTAGTGACTTATTTCTTTTGACTTTCATTATTTTTCTGGTCAATTTTCGTAACAGATTTGATGATATTTTCTAGCATGAAAATAAGCATTAAGTGCATGCATTTCATTTTTGTCATTTGCTTTATATAGAATTTTATAGTTTCTGTCTTGATGAAACGATGAAAATTTAGATTTCTAAATGTTTGCTGCAATGCTGTGCCTGCAAGACTGTCTACAAACAGTTATTGCTATCATTGGCTGTCTTCATTGACTTTTTTTATTTTTCCGATTACCCTGTTTTTCACATCTGATATACTTTTCCTGAGCAGGCTGGACAGAGTGATACTAAACCCAGATGGTACTCAGAGTTAATCACTGGGAGATGTAGAACTAAAGGATCTATGGAGTCATTGAACCTGAGAAATAGGCTGTTTCAAGGCAACAGATATGAGTCAACTACTGCAGCATCTGTCAGAGACTCCAGCTGAGAAATATGAATGCCAAGCTGAGGTGCATTGTTGGAATAGTAGAGCTGATTGAGTTGTTATGGCTTGTGATTGAAATAGCTGATAACATTTTCTGCTTTTTGACAGGTTAGTCGATTCATGGACCTCATTGTTAACAGCTTATATAGTAATAAGCAGGTGTTTCTTCGGGAGCTCATCAGGCATGTTTTGATTTGTTAGTCAACCTTATTTCTTGCTACTTTTACCATGTGTTAATGATGCATGCCCTTCATCAGTATGCAATATTAGTTTTGCATTGAGCATCAAAGGACACTTATTTTTTGCCATTTCTGCATCGATCAACGATCACTGACACCTGTGAAGAAAAATAACTGGCTGAACTGTATCAAGGTTGTATAGAGTTTGGAGATGAAGGGATAGTAATTATGCTCTAAGCCCATCCAAATGTGCTGATCTCGGAATTATACATAGTTGTTCATGCTAATTTAAGCAAGCCTAGGATAAATAGAGAAAATAATTGGATGAAAAAAATGTACCAGTACGTTAGAAAAACTAGACATGATTGAAAATTATATTTTAATATGGAGGAGGGTTTTATTGCTTTGATGGAGGTCTTGTCATTCAATGTTTTGATTTAATTGTATGACTATTGGTTTTGCGATTGCAGTGAGTGTCCTCCACAAGTGTTGCCAATAGATAGTTTGTTTCTTGTATTGGTTTTAAGCCGAGTTAAATCAAAAAGCAAACTAGAATTACAAGTTTGTCTCAAGTTCCAAGTGAATTAAATGATGCTATTGCTAATGTGCTCCAAATTATGATTTTTAAACCTCACCAATGCGAGCGATGCTTTGGACAAGCTGCGATTTCTCAGTGTTACAGACCCCAATCTTTTGAAGGGTGGAGTCGATCTTGATATCTGTATCCAGACTGACAAAGATAATGGGATTATTACAATTATGTAAGCTTTTTGAACACTAAAAATTATTGTGGTTAATGTTTCCATTGCAGTATCAAAACTTTATGTGCTCTATGCAGGGATTCTAGCATTGGGATGACTCGTCAAGAACTTATTGACTGTCTTGGAACTATTGCACAAAGTGGAACTGCAAAGTTCTTAAAGGCATTGAAAGTGCACCAATATTTGGCTTAATTGTATTGTATACTTTGATCAAAGACCTTGTGCTAAGTTTTATTTATTTGCCTAGATTGAGTATAATTTTAGCATAATCTTATTTATTTGCCTAGCCAAAAATACAAAACAATCTCGAACCACTCTGGAGATTGCGCGGACAGCTTCCTTGTGCTTAATAGAACATATGGGGACATAGGTTGGGACATACGGCCTATGAGTAAGACACATAGGTTGGGAGTTAGAGCTGAAAATGCCGTAAACTTAACTGAAAAATTGCATTTTGGGAGGGGGAAACCTGGGAGAAACTTGTTTGGACATGCAACATATGATTACGACTATAATTATACAATTTTGAAAAGATAATATACATTCGAGTTTTATATAATTTTCTTTTATAATTTGAAATGATGACGTTATTCAATCAATACTAATGGTTAATTTTATTTTTACAAATGGTTTTTGGCGTGGAAAAGTGGATATTCTTTATTTTTGTGCGGAGGACATTGTTTTTTTTATAATCCGTTATTATGTTGTCCTTCGTTTTTTTTTTTTGGATTACTATTGTTCATACAGATAACTATTGGCATTGTACAAATTGCTTTTGGCATAGAACATATTACTTTTGACATGGTATAGATTATCATTTGACATGGTATTGTGGAATTTTTTATTTTTTTATTTTTGTACGGCAGACATGATTTTTGTATAATCCTTTGTTTTGTATAAAATTATTATTTTAGGTTGGACTATGCTTGATTCGTATGGAATTTCTATTATGTTTCGAATTTGATGCTAAAAGTTAAATTTTCTTGGATCGTTGTTATTCGGATTGCACAGAATAAATACAGGTCGTGGCGAAATAAATATGTGTATAAAAATAAAAATAAAAAAACTAAATAAAGTTTTTGACAAATAAACATTTAGTAGCTAAAAAGAAGTGAAGTTGTTGGCGATTAACCAATTTTTTGACAAATAAACATTTAGTAGCTAAAAAGAAGTGAAGTTGTTGGCGATTAACCAATTCGTAGCCAAAAAGAAATAAAGGCTTTTTCGCGATTAGTAGCCAAAAGAAAGAAAATATTTTTGGTGTCTAAATAATTTGTAATAAAAAAAATAAGATGAAAAATAAATTTTATTTGGTGACTAAATATTTAGTAGCCCAAAAAATTTGAAGTTTTTGCCTACTAAAAATTTAGTCATCAAAAAAATTGTTGATATTTTTTACGACTAAACATTTAGTCACCAAAAAAGCTACAATCTTTTGCCTACAAAAAAGCTTGGTTGCTAGCTAAAGGAGTCAATTAGATGTTTGGCTACAAAATTAATTTGTTGCTGATAATATTTTAAAATTTAGTAGCCCAAAAAATTTGAAGTTTTTGAATACTAAAAATTTAGTCGTCAAAAAAATTGTTGATATTTTTTACGACTAAACATTTAGTCACCAAAAAAGCTACAATCTTTTGCCTACAAAAAAGCTTGGTTGCTAGCTAAAGGAGTCAATTAGATGTTTGGCTACAAAATTAATTTGTTGCTGATAATATTTTAAAAATAATTGGCAACTATATATTTTAATCACTAAATATAACATAGTAGTGATAAAATTTATCTACGACTAAAAATTTAGTCGATAAAAGTTCAAATTAAATTTATAAAAAAAATTATGGCGACTAAATTATTAGTCGACGAATGGTATTCTTTGGCTACTAAAATAATTTTAGTCACCAATACTTTTCCGGACAATCAGTCATCGACCAATTGAGTGACTAAATAATTTAATTGGGAATTACATTTGTCGACTAAAAATGATTTTTAACAATTAAAAATTTATTTTTCAAATGTGCAATTTCTTATAGTGTGTAACTAGTTTGAAGATAATTGATAGTGTCAAGAAAATTGTGAATGATCATTTTTATATTTTTTTGCAAAGTATATTATTTGAAATTTATTATCATAATTTTGCGGTGTTGGTGTAAGAGGCGATACTCTTTGTCCAATCCATTTGAATCCAATTATAATTGAGTTTGTAGGATAAAAGTCATTTAAATTCTGACGAATTTCTCACATAAAATTACATAATTATTTAATGCTAATTGAATTTGTAAATATTTATACACAAGCATCAACATACATCATTATAACCTCACAATTGCTACAATCATCACTAATATTGCTGCAACCATCATCACCGTCACTGTCTCTGTTAGCACCACCACCACCACCATTATGAAACCACCATTGTTTTTTTTTTTTTTTGATTCATAAGAAAAGGAGATAACAGACAAAACAGAGAAATAGGCAAAGCTACCTTACACAGTAGAAGAAGAAGAAGAAGCCCCAATGATGTCTGCAACAAGCAGATTTGCAATCTTAGTGGGGGGATCATTAAGAAACACAAAAGGGGCTTGGTGATTTACACCCATATTTGCCAAACCATCCGCACTCTTGCTTCCCTCTCTACGTATATGAGCTATTGTGCAGTTGCATCTTTGCATTAGAAACTTAGCATCTTCAAGTAGAGCCTTGTACTGAAAATGCTGAGATGGTGAATCCTTGATGAGTTTAACAACTTGTTCTGAGTCTGTCTCAATGCATATGCCCTTCATTCCCTTCTCAAGCATTATGGTGAAGCCTCGGTAAACTGCCTAGAGCTCAGCCTCCATACTAGTTGCTTCCTCTAATTTTCCATGATATCCATGAAGCCAAGCTCCTTTTTCATCCCTAAAAAGGCCTCCATATCTAGCTAGCCCCGGATTGCCTTTTGAACAACCGTCAGCGTTGAGTTTCATTTTCCCTGCAAAAGGCAAAACCCAATTAGTCCTATGATTTAGAGCTTGGCCTGTAAAGTGATCAGTTTGGAATGCCTCATATGTCTTTGTGGCTTGGTGTTGAATGGATCTAATAATTTCGTGGACATTTCCATACTCTTGTCTGAAGACCACATTGTTTCTATCTTTCCAGATTTCCCAAATAGTGTATAAGAACACAATGCTCCAAGGTATGTGGTAGGTCTTCCTTTCCTGATTCTTCAAATTTAGTTGTAGCCATTAAGCCACCATTGTTATTACCACCACCTTTATAATACTTGTCATCGTTATCATAAAACATACCATCATTTCAAGTAGTGAAATTTCATTATCTTTAAATAGTGAAATTTAACCTTAATATTTAGATGAAATTATTAAAAAGGTAAAATTTCTACTAAAGAAATAAAAATTACAAAATTAAAGGCAAAGATGAACTAGCGAGTAAATGGAAAACTTATGAGTTAAAGAGAGATGTCATCAATAGATTCGTTGGAAAACAAGTGATTGTCACTATCATTTAAATTAGCTAATGATAATTTAATTTTCTTAATTAATTTGTTGTCTAATTAATCCTATAATGTGTGTAATTACCAAAATTTTACGTTAATTTGAAATTCCCTCTCAAAATTTAGGACCCTCCAAGTTTTTCCCCTAAGCCCTTCTACGTTTCTCGTGTCTCTTTCTTTTCCTCTCTCTCACACGACTACTTCTCATTCTTCCTCCTACACGGACGATTTTGTTGCTCCCATTCCACCGTTGTACCGCTCGAAATCCAAAGTCCACACCGCCGATTCACGAACTTAGAGTATTTCATTCTGACCAGGTAAGTTGATTTCTGTTTCTTTCACTACATCTTATTCTTTGCCCTAATTTCTCACAAATCGACTCTCTCTCTTAGCAATCTATACCTCACACACCTTTATCGCCCTGTAATCACTACGGCACCATGCTACCGTTGGCATCGTCTCTCTGAATACAGCGAAACCCCCTCCATCGCCATAGTCCCCACATTCACACGACCCATCTCTCCCTCACCACACATCTACTCTACCACATTCACCACTGCTGCAAATGTCATTCCACTACTACCGCCAGTACCACTGTTGCCACTCCACCTCTACGACTACCATTACTACCACCATCACCACCACTCCACTACCACCACTACCACTACTGCCACTGCTACTACCATTACCTCTCATCCACCACTGCTACTCCATCTCTTCTACCACTACCACAACTTCACTACTAATTTCCTTCGTCATCCCCTCTTATCCACCACCTTCACCACTACTACCGCACCCTCTCCTCTACTACAAAAAATTAGTCCATGATTTATAGTTAAAAAAAAAAAATGGGTTGCAAAAAAATTTTTTTTATTGTGGACCTCTCCCATTATTAAAAGTTAGAGAGGGATGTTAGACCAATTTTTCCTATAAAAAAATCTATGAATACAAAAAATAAAAAAAAAATTATTTTTTTTATATTTTTATATTTAGTGTAATTTTAATTTTTTAATGAGATTTATACTTTTAAATGTATCTAAATTTTATACTTTTGCCTCCTCAAACTGAGTCATAAAACTCAAATAAAATAAAAATTATAAACAATGAATAATAATTAAAAAATATTAATTTAACAAGCATAATATATTTTGAATAGCTACCAAAAAAAATTAGGAACAAATTTTTTCACAAAATTTTATCTTAATTTAAAATTCCCTCTCAAAATTTTGCCCCCAATCCCTCTCCTACGTTTCTCATGTCACTCTCTCCTGCTGTCTCATACAACTACTTCCTCTCATTCCTCCTCCCTCACGGACGATTTTGTTGGTCCCATTCCACCGTTGTACCACCTGAATCGAAAGTCGATACCGCCGATTCACGAACTTAGACTATTTCATTCTGACCAGGTAAGTTGATTTCTTTTTCTCTCTCTGGATCTTATTCTCTGCCCTAATTGCTCACAAATCGACTCCCTCTCTTAGCAATCTCTACCTCACACACTTTCACCGCCCTGTAATCACTATCGCAGCACGCCACCGTTGGCACCGTCTCTCTGCATATAGCGGAACCCCCACATTCGCATGACCCATCGCTCTCGCCAGCCAATCCCACCGGTAAGCCCGCTTTCCATTGCTTTTGTTGTCCGTCTACATCCTCTCTTGCTTCCTGCCATCGTGCCCTAATCTCTCTCTCTCTTTTAGCCACCATATTTCATTCTGGGTATATGTTAATTTCAAGATTTGGTAATTCGAGGAGTGTTTTGTGTTGGTAGTTCACAGTTGTGTTTCTTTGATCAATTGCAAATTCAGTTAAACACACAATATATTTATGTTGGATGTATACATGAATTATTGGAAGAAAAAACCTAATGTGATGTTAACTAAGAATTTGGGTATTGTGCTGTTGTCTATTTAATCAATTTATTGACTTGCAATGCAATAATGTGTGTAATTTCTTATGTATGATTGATTTTGTATATTATTTTAACAAGAGGAAAAAGACTAACAAGGCAACTCACAACAGAAAAAATGTATGCAATTAGTCCACCAAAACAAACATTAATCATCCTAAAACCTCTTGATTAGTGTTTAAGGTTGAAGGGGTAGTAGTTCAATTCAGGTTTTCAGTTTTATTTATTATTATTATTTTTTGTTTTGGTTTGGTATGATGCTTCGGATTGAATCCTCCAAATATCTTTATAAGAAGTGGGTTTACAATTCATTGATTTAAAAGTTCATAGTTTGGGGAAGGTTTATAGTTTAATTTAGGTGGAGTAGTTTAATTCACAATGAACAAATTCTTGCAAGTGTTTGGACTGTTCAAAGTAATTTTGGCTGATAACATCATCTTTCTTCATCTTACACCTCTACATGTAAAGGCATTGCATTTTGATTCTCTTTTCTCTTTTTGTATTTATTTATTTTTTTAAGGTTTTTACAATTAGAATTGTTTGCCATTTTGTGATTTTTGATTTACAAGCGTGGTGTGAGCACTTTGAGGTTGATGAATGAGTTATAGCTATAAAAGGTAAATTTATTAGTTGACTATATTTGCATTTTTTTATTTTGTTTTTACGAACCAGTAACTAAGTTTAGTCATAACATCTTTTATGGTACGAAAGGCATCCATAAATGTGCAGCTAATTGACAGCCGAAGTTAGTCATTTGCCTAAGACGTTGAGAGTAATTTTTTAGTATGAAAATATCTGCTATGGAAGAGCATTCATGTGTATTTGGTTCTAAAAGCAAATAAAGCTGAACTTGGGCTTTAAAGTGAAGTAAGTCCTAGTGAATACAGTTCGTCGAGGAAAAAAATCTTTTTGTCCATCTAAATCTTGTTCATGATTTACAATGTTACTTCCTTCAATCTTTTTTCCGCGCTTACAATTCAAAACATTACAACGCCAAGTAAGATTCAGTTAGCCATCCTCATGGACATTTACATTTACATTTGAGACATAGTTTGCATTCTCAAGATGATTTTACATGGTTGATGCAATGCGTAGCTCCAAATGGGGGTTTGTGGGAGGAAGGGTCAGGGAATCTTGATTCTGAAGTTTCAAAATTTGTGGTGGCTGACTTTCTCTGCATTAATCTTAAGCATTCAAGAAACAAGAACATAGTATTGTAAAGTAATGATATGATAGGTTGGTTTAAATCTTTAGAGACGAGAGAGTCACTAAATAGCATTTTGGACTTGCATTTACCTCAGTTAAAGGGCACTCCATTGCTGGCTTTTCTTCTATCATGATCTTCTAAACGTGATTAGGTATTGCCCCCCAATGGCATTGCCCCCCAATGGCATTGCATATAGATTGCATGTTCTTCCCAGTTGTGTACTGTACATCTCATGCATCTATCTTTTATGAAAATTCCATACTCTTCTTTTGTGTAAAAAGATGTTTTTAGGGATTAAAGTATTGGATGGAATGCTTCATTTCACATATAAACTGAATTTGAGGCTCACAAGGATTTAGGAGTGTGATGCTATTGCTGAAGGAGAGTTATTATGATTAGAATGAGAGGAAAAGGAATTATGCTCTTTGATATTGGTTTTGGACAATTTAAAGACATTGGTTGTTAGATATCTAAATTTATTTTGCGATAACTTTATATCTATTATCCTTTTTTTATGCTTCTCTTTTTCCCTTGTATGGGATCTTGGCTGTTACTAATTGACATTTGCCTTTGGTCATTGTGGTGCCTTAGTTTCTAATTTCTGCTATTTTGGTAAAGACAGACTAAAGCTGGTCTATAATGTCTTGGCAACCATGAATAAGCCGAACATTTTTTTTTTCTTTTTTCCCTTCTGTTTTCAAATTTTCTGTGCTCAACTTCAAAATGACAAATTGACTGTAGAAATTATTCTTAGATCAGATGATCACTTCATTCTCACACTTACCAAAGAGACAGAAAGAGTAAAAGTAAAAGTCACAACTTTGAAATAAGACGCACTTTATTATTATTATTATTATTGTTTTTAAGGGCTACTTAGCCCAACAGTAAGGCTTGTCATTAGTACCCCCTATATGAAGCACGTGTACTTAAAAAAATGCCATACCCGTACCACATCACATTGGATACACGAGACGAAACATGTATCTTTTTTTTGCTTCGTGAGTGTTCAACTTGGGTATGTAATGGGTACCTCTGGAGTATAACAGGTTCCAACTACAATCATGTTTTGAAGTATATGAGTACCAAAATAGGGTGTTCTTTTATTTAGAGATGAAGTTTGCTTGATAGGACTTCCTTTAATGCTTAGCATGCTTTTAAAATTAAGTTTTGGTTTGTAGGTTTTCTAATGTAATGACATCAAAATTTGGTTTGCACTTTGCTTTTGGCATTAAAAGGTGTCGTGAGTTTGAGTCATCGAAATAGTTTAGAAATGGGAGTAAGGCTGTGGACGTCTTATCCTTCCCAAACCTTGTTGTAGCAAGAGTTTCATGCACTAGGTTGCCTTTTTTATTGTTGTTATTAATATCATTTATTTTATTTGTTTTCTCATTAATGAATTGCAATGTTAGTTGGAACGTCTATCCCAGTTTTTTTTTTTTTTATATTTTTAATGGCATGCAGATTATAAATTGTTTAGGCGATGTGATGGTTTAATGCAACTTTATTTGTAAAATAATGTCTTATCTCTTACAGATGGTTTCATTGATCATTGTGGCTCTTGCTTGGTGCTCCATGTTGGTTATGCTTGGAATAGAAACTAGAATCTACATCAGAGAGTTCCGGTGGTATGTTCGGTTTGGAGCTGCATATGTGTTGGTGGGGGATGCTGTGATGCTCAATCTCATTCTTTCAGTGACAGATTTCTACACAGGGTCAGTATACTCTTAATAAATTTGTAATCCTTTGTTGTTGGTACCTATGTATTGTGCTTGAAATTCATTTACTGATTGAAAAACTACTCCTAGATTGCTCACTTGTTCTATTTTGTGCGTTTCCAAAACTTATTTTGTGCATTTCCAAAACTCCTAGTATTATCTTCCCTCCTCCTCCCCCCTTTTCTTTTTGGTCTTGTGAATCATAAAATTTGCATGATATAGTTATGCCCCGAAAAGCCCAATCAATTAAATGAGTAAGGAGACCAACAGAGACAATAGTAAGGAGATGAAATACAGTTAAGGTAGATGGAAATGCTAGGGGAAGGGGTAGATCTAGATTGACGTGGGATAGTGTAGTAAATAGAAATATGAACCTCCTTAATTTGACTAATCAAATAACCCTTGATAGAGCCGAATGGATAAGAAGGATTCATGTAGCCGATCCCATTTGATGGAACTTAAAGCTTGGTTTGGTTTGGTTTTCTGTTTTCCTCCAGTTTTGTCTCATTTACACTTGCTATATTTGTCTTTGTATATCAGAAAGATACAGTAAATGTGCCACTGTATAGAAGGCTGAAACTAGCATTTTTAAGTTACTGACATTGGTCATACATTTATGAGTATATGTTTTCTTTTGATGGTCTTTTTGCTTGTGAATTTGATGTTTTATAGTATTTGTCTCTCAGAAGGAAAATGTTTGACCCGCCTTGTTTCACAACCTTGACTTAGTTGCTCCTTTTGAGGTTTTGAGGTTGAGGCATTTAGATGATTTATTAGTATTAAGTGTTACATTCTACAACTGTTTTCTGTTTTTCACATTTTAATGGTGCTAATATTTTAGGGCATTTTACCAATATAGACCCTTTGATGCAGTTTGAGTCAATTAGCACGTTGGTTGGGAGAAAAAGCTGAAGAATTAGGAGTTGAAATATACCCAGGCTTTGCTGCTAGTGAGGTGCTTCTGCATTTGGTTGACACATTTTAATGTCTGGCATATTTGAACATCATGAATTAACATGTTATTTGATTTTTCAGATTTTATATGATGATGAGAAAGTTATTGGTATTGCAACGAATGATATGGGAATTGCCAAAGATGGTTCAAGGAGGGACAATTTCCAATGTGGTGTAGAATTCAAAGGTGGGTCCTGTTAAGTTCTTTCTCTAGTTCTCATCCTTGCAATATATAAGATCTCTCAGGTTGAGTGCGTATGCTGCATATGCATTTTTCGCTTCCTGAAGCATTAGTTGCTGATAGCTATTTCATCTTTATGATCTTTCTCAAACTGTATCAGTCATTTTGTCATATAACATCATCGATGCTAACTTTGGTTTGCAGTGAGTGTAGTGGAATGGAATGGCCTCCATTTCCACCTTTAAGTTGTCAAAGGCAAAGGCTGAAATGAGCATTTGAAAGTTGAAACTAATTGTTATTTATTCCCTAATACATAACAATAGCCATTCTCCAGTCAAATGGAATCATTCATAGTCTTATCTTCTAATGCATATGATTTAATTGTTATTAATTTTTCCTAGAAGCATTGTGAATCCATAAAAACAGCCTTATGGCGTAGTTGAAGAACTAGATGTTTTATATCTAATGGTTGTTCTTCCGTGATCCTTCACTTTCGTCAGTAGTTTTGCTTTCACAAAATCTCATTTGACCAAATAATTTAAGAGAGAATCTTTTGGAGGCATGTAGAATTAGAGTACTAGCTAATAAATACATCCCCAGGATTTTTCTAGCTTGTGCTTAATTCTTGAAGCGAATTTTATCAGGTTTGGGAAATTGATTCAAGTAAGCACGAACCTGGTCATGTACTTCACACCTTGGGTTGGCCATTGGATAACAAGACATATGGGGGATCTTTTCTATACCATATGAAAGACAGACAGGTATCATTTGCCCTTGCTTTATAGCTCTATATTAATTAAGCATACAATTTAGTGTATTAATTTTACTAATTACCTTAGCTTCTCGTGTTACATTATATGGTGTACAAAGGTATGTAATTGTATAAGTGGAGGATATACTAATAAAATGAAATGCTAAATCTACTCAGAAGTCATTTATAAAAATATGGTTAACAATGCTAGAAATTTTGTCCTTTTAAATGCATTAGTCGTTATGTGATAAACGTTTTCAAAAGGAGAGAAAAAAGAGGTGGACGCCGATGTATAGTTCAGAAAGTGGATGGAGCAACCTTGTTGACTTCATAAGTTCTGATGCTTTAAAATTGGAATTTACAAGTTATTAATTTTTTCCATTAGCATGCTCCACAATGAAACCCTAATTTGGGCACCTAAATGAGATGTTTCCTCGGTTGGATATACAGGTTTCTCTTGGCCTTGTTGTTGCTTTGAATTACCACAACCCTTTCTTGAATCCTTATGAGGAATTCCAGGTATTTTTTATTGTTATTTTTGCAATGTTTATTTATATATTATATATGGACCTACCTTCACATAAGTCAAGATTGCACATTTTCTTTTTCATATGTGAGTCTCTCTCTCTCTCTCTCTCATTTTTTATCAAATGAAAATCTGTTACTGTTTATAATATAAAATGTTACCAAAAGTCTATAAACAGTTTTCTTTCTCTGTATATTCTTCTCATACATTGATGTAGGAAACAGCAGGAACTTGGAATGTTGCTGCTTGCAGTTAGCTTAATGGGGGTGGGAGTCGCATTATGCTTGTTGGTTAGGATTTAATAAACTGGAAGAAAGGTTGTAGGGCTTTCCAATTGTAAAGAGTTAGAACTTAGTTTTTAAAGTGAAAAGGCTGTTGGATTTTCAGTGAATAGTTTGTCAGTAGTTATTGACAGCAAGTATTTTAAGGTTTCAGTGCTCAATTCAATGCCAAAAAGTAGTGGAAAGAGTTAGTGTTGATTTTGGATTGACAGGATAAATGTGGTACTGAATAGGCACTACCTGTGAACAGTAAAATCTGACTAGTGTCTAAGAAGAATAAAAGTGAAAGAAGCAAGAGAAGAAGAACCTGGGAATTCCTTGGGAATCACCTTTTGTGGTTAGATTGCATCAAGCATCATACAAATCTAGAAAAGGTTTCCCTCCATAGGGATAATGATCTGCTGAGTTTAGTCAACAAATAGGATGATTGGATCAATTGTAACCATCATATTTGTCTCATATCAATTGTATGGTTAGAAGTATATGGCAAACAAACTTGAATGACAATATTGTGAGTGGGTTTGGTAGGTGATGTTTATTGTTCAACCCATAAAAAAATGTGCAAAACCCAGCTCATTTAAAAAAAAAAGAAAAAAAAAGAAAAGAGTCAACTGAAGCTAATGCAATAGGCTGTCTTGCTTTTAAAGAATATATAAACTTTTTTTTTCTCGTAGCTATTGACTTGTATTGGTTCCAAGTCTTTCAATGTTTGTTTGAGCGATTCTTTTATCACCTAAGTTTACTTTCTTGGAGAATCCCTTAACAGCTTTTTATTATTTTGAAGTCTGTAATCCTATCAGCATTTTTTTCCTTGGATAGAGTGTATCTCTTTACCTTTTAGGTATTTATCTACAATGTGCAAGCATAAGGTCTTACTCGGTTTCTTGTGTATTAATTCCTTTGCGTAGAAACTTAAACATCATCCGGCCATCAAACCTCTTCTTGAAGGTGCTACTGTCCTCCAATATGGTGCCCGTACATTGAATGAAGGCGGGTTTCAGGTGCGTGATATGTTATTTTATTTGTCTGGCGACCAATAGGAAAATTCACATTAAGATAGTAGAAGTATCAAAGGCTTCTTGAATCCACCACATGCATGCCTGATGTAGTATTGTAAATCAGTGCTAAAAGGCAGATGCAAGTGCTTGAAAATAATTTTCATTTGCAAAATTATTGGTGGCTGTTTACACAAAAGATTTGCACATATTGTGTGCCAGAATCATTAGAGCTAAAATTATAATATTTATAGCCGATTAGACTGCAAATGCAGAGTGGCAACTCGTTTTTCCCGTTTTTTATCTACAGCTCAAAAGGCATGGTACCTTATTAACAACATTACTAATTGTTTGTTAGATGTTATGCAAATATAAATATGATGCTAGTTAAATTTTAGTCTATTCCATATCCAGTATTCCCGGGTGGAGCAATTATTGGATGCTCAGCTGGCTTCTTAAATGTACCAAAAATAAAGGGCACACATACTGCCATGAAATCAGGTATAACTCACATTATCTCAAGCAGTGCCTTATCTTTAATGTGAAAACCATACGATATGTCTAGTTGGTATCTAGTTGATATAAAACAATGTTACTTTATGATTGTTTGGTGTTGTAAATTGCTAAATTCTAGGATAAAGTCATTCAAGATTTAGTTACTATGAGATTAAGTATGCCAGATGATTTTTTGTTGCAGCAGTAAATTGTTATATATCTGAGGTAAATTGCCCCCCCCCAAAAAAAAAAACAAATTAAACCTTTTTTTTTCAAAAAAAATTCTTAAACCCTAAACTTCTCGGTACTATGCCATCTGTCCATCTTCGTAACAGAGAAGGATAATTTTGTCAATTTACCCCTCTTTCTTGGATAATTTTGTGAACATACCTCTTCTTTCACTGTCTTCCTCCCTCCTAGAAGCCACCTCCACCACCAGTGGCAACCCCTCTACAACTCACCCATCCTCTTGTTGAAAAAAATGCGTACATATATACCTACATTGATACATACTCCATAACCAAATAACTTATATCCCAGATGGGTGTGAGAGGAACAGAGAGCATCACCCTCCCCTGACTGCCCTTCCCCACCCTCCCCTGCCACACCCAACTCCTCCACAGTCCACCTCCGCTACATGCAACCCACCAAATAAAGTATTAGAAAAAATGAAATAACATATAGAATGGTTGGAATTTGTGATCAAGCTATTAGAAAATAAAGGAGTACTTCTAAAGCTTATTTTCTTACAGGAATGCTAGTAGCAGAAGCTGCAGGTCTCGTTTGGGAACAGGCTAATTTAGTAACTTTTTGGCTATTTGGCTAAAAGGGTAGGTAAAAAAAACTTGTATGTTTGGGATGACTTTTTGGCTAATTACGAAAAGATGTGCAAAAAAGTAGAGAGAAAAGAGAATCTTTGATTTTGTTGTATGAGTTGTTGGCTTTTTGGCTAATTTAGTAACTTTTTGGCTAATTGGCTAAAATAGTCTCTTGCCAAACGAGGCCGTGTACTTCATGCAGGCTTAAATATGGAAACATACTGGAACAACTTAAAAAATTCATGGATATGGGAAGAACTTTACAGAGCTCGGAACTATCGACCAGTACGTATTGAAATTTATCCTTTCTAACTTTCTGAATGATCTTTCCTCTGATTCCCATTTCATATTTTGATCTTCTTCACTCTTTGGTTTTCTCAGAGGCGCTAATTAATGGTCCATTTCAACAATTTATTGTCTAAATAAACCACCTCTTGAATGAATTATATTTTTACGATATCCAAATCTATTTTTCAGTGTTTTCTTGTTTCTCTGTGATGTGGTACACATGCCATAAATTGTATTTCCAGAGTTTTTAACTATATTTACTCTGTATTTTGTGTGTTTTCAGGCTTGCGATATCAAAGACCCAAAGCAGAATATTGAATGGACTGTGCCGGAAGGTGGTGGCGGCCCAGGCTACTCTATCATGTAGACCGTTTGCTTGGATTAACTGCACGCAAAATAAAAATGTATCCCAATGTATACAATTACAAATAAAAAGTCAATCTAATTGGAAAAAAAATTTAACCTGTGCTGAGGTTTCTCTGCAGAACTCCATATCCTGTAGTTAATATAAATTGTAATTCCTTCTTGTTCCCATTTAGATCATTTGATGGAGTAGTCGCTGCATTGTGAATTCATGTCAAGAGATTCCTTAACGAAATGCACACAAACCTTTATTATCTAGAGTTCATGTTCCCAGATTATGAGCTACTCACAACCCAAGTTGCCGTGAATGGAAAGTAGGACTACACAGATCAAATACAAATCAAAATCCAAATATACATTCAGAGCTTTTACACTAGAAGAAATTTGTGAAATGGGAATGGTAAATGAACAATTTTTTTTTTCCTTTTCCCAAAAACGTAGTTTTTTACAAACTAGCATAGTATAATCTTAAAAAGGTTGCTAGAAGCCCTCCCAAAATTTCCAAGAGTTTTGCCAAGTGTGCCACGTCATCCCACTGTTTTGGCAAATTAAGAGTACATCCCAAAATTGCCCCTAAGCAAGATGTCGAGGATTTGGCTTTCTTGCAGATTCCAGATATCTTTAGTTCAATGCATAAAATTGTAACACATTAAAATCTAAAATCAGGAGTCTACAAATGGCCAAATCAATTTAAGTTGAAGATCTCACTGTTTTGGGTTTTAAATAAAGATTTGGTGATGCAAGTCTTTTTACAATCAATTAATCACCTACTTTCATGAAAGAGTGCCCTATTCCTCATATGGAGAGACCAGATGTTCAGAGTCAACATTCTTCCTATAAGCAGAACATATTAAAGGGCTCTTGTGTTCAAAAAAAATATTAAAGGGCTCTTCTAATGAATTGCTTTCTAAAAACAGTTCCTGCAAAAGCAATTTCAAATACTAACAGTATGAGTAATCATACACAAGCACTTTCAACATTCCAAAAACACAACCAACAATAGAGAGAGAGAGAGATAGCATTTTGAAAATTTTAAATACAAGACTACCACTAATATATTCGCCAAAACATGTGCTACATGACTAAAATAAATGAATGAAATCACCCCCACAATTCAACCACGAACTAAATCCAACATAATACTCCTACAAATAGATCAACCGCCACATCTCAAATCCTGAACATAAATCCAAATATAAACTGCCTACAAAATAGTTACACAGACGCATCTAGTCACACACACAACAGACAGAAAATGGACATATCTGACACCATAATCGGAACACCAAAGATTTGGACAATAACTGACCCTCCAAGCTCCAAAGATCCGCCCATTTCCACATCCGCCCATTTCTATTCCGCAATTAATCCTTTGATGAAGGGTTGACATCTGAACTGTACTCTTTCTGGCTTGGAGAATGCATTGAAGCACGCAATTGTTGTGAGTGTTGCTGCTGCTGCTGTTGCTGCTGCTGAAGTTTTATTTGAATTTTATTTGAATTCTGAACACAAGCTTCGCGGAGGGATGGTCGACCCTCAAGCCCCAAAAAAACTTGCATAGAACTCCAGAGCTTTCACCCGTTACAAAACTACCATCATAGACTAAGAAGCACGACCACTTATAAGGTGTCATGTCTATGTCGAACACTGACAACACGTGTCGCGCACACGTCCAATACTGTCATTTTTTTTAAACCCGAACACAGTTAAGACACTGACAAACACATTACAAGTTTGAAGAAAATAACTTGAAAACAAAAACGTAGATTTATACCTACTAATTCTTCCTCTTTTAGAGTTTAGGAATTAATGTGATATTTTTTTATCATCATTAGATGAAATATTCATATATATATATAAACATAAATTAAATATAAAAAAAACCTCATATTTAGTGCGTGTCACCCATTTGTCATGTCAAGCATTTGTTTCCTAAATTGTAGTGTCAGCATGTCCAAATTGTGCAGCGTGTCCATGTCTGTGCTTCTTAGATTGTAGCTAAGTCACAAAAGGAAAACCGCGCTCTTTATTACATCCATTGAGGAAGACATACAAGAGAATACTGGAAATGATTTTATTTGAATATTGAAAATAAGATTCAAGGATAGGTGACTGAACCTCTAGCCCAAATACAGTATATATAATACTCCACAGCTCTCACTCCTGTTCTCTGACAAGACCTATGTTACATGGACTCTATCACTTCTACTATACCATGTCCACCAGACATTACAAGCATAAGGATTGGGGATATGTGTCCAACACCATAGTATCCAATTTCACTACTTGGATCAACTAATTTTATATGATGTTTGAAGAATATACTTACATTTGCTAGTACAGAAACATTTCTAACTTCTCACACGAATGAGAGACATAGGGCTTGTTTGGTTTGAATTTGAGAGATGAGTTTTAGAAGAAAAAAAATTCAAAAATTGTTTGGTTTGACATTTTTCTCAAAAAATTTTCAAAATCACTCTCTTTCTTACACATCAATCAATTACTTTTTCTCTCCCCTCTCTCCTTCTCAATCACTTTTTCTCTCACACACATCTACTAAATTCTTCCAAAATATCAAATCATCCCAAACTTTTACAAAAAATTTATCTCTCAAAATATACAACCAAACAAACCAAATTTTTTTTTTAAAACAACTCTCCCAAAAACAAACCAAACAAGCCCATAAATTCCATATTTTTCCTAAATCTCATTTAATTTGAAATACATTTCCAAATAAATTGGGTTTAAAAATATTAAACAATATGCAATATATACATGTTTAAGACGTGTCCCTGTATCCATACCTACCTTTTAAATGCATATCCTAATATCCTACGATTTAGTTTAAGAAGATCTGACGCTTGGACACACAATGAGTCCATGTAACATAGCACAAGAGCCAAGACTACTAATTGAACTCTTTATTAAAATTGGGTTTAAAAATATTAAACAATATGATTTATCAAATATATATATATATATATATATTAAACAATATGCAATATATACATGTTTAAGACGTGTCCCTGTATCCATACCTACCTTTTAAATACATATCCTAATATCCTACGATTTAGTTTAAGAAGATCTGACGCTTGGACACACAATGAGTCCATGTAACATAGCACAAGAGCCAAGACTACTAATTAAACTCTTTATTACACAAGGACAAAGTCAACTATTCACAATTGTCTCCATTCCCGTAGGTCTTCCAAGTCTTTTACATATTTATTTTCAATGAAAATTTTATTACCTACATACACCTGCACCAACAGAAAAGAACCTATTGATGTCTCTAATTGGGGTATAGTATAAGGGTATTGTTGAATTAATTACGTTACGTCTCCCATTGTTAGATAATATACAAGGCCAACATGTCCATTTTATGCAAAATCTATAGGTTCTTGACAAAGCATATATTATCAAACTATGGCTAAATGGCCATGATATTTTACATTTTTTTTTTGACAAGTCTGAATGACCATGATACTGCCTCTTCATAAAAACTACAATTTAGGATAAAAGCAAATATATGAAAGAAAAGTAATTACAACAAAAGAAACTCCTAGCAGGAGTTTAGGAAAAGTACCCTTACCATCTTGCAAGTGAACCTGTTGCTCCATTGTTTGCAAACGCAGCTTAAGTTCACTATTTTCTGCAGTCAGGCCATTTGTATCTCTCTGTTCATAGCAAACCCACAAGAAAATAGTGATATACCATAATCCATAATATGTTATATACTAGAATTTTTCAAATACTCTCTCTAAAGAAATTGAAAAAAAATAAAGGTTTTTTTGTTTTTTTTTTGTTTTTATAAGCAACAGGGAGAATTGTATTAAAGAATGTGCTGAGGGAACACACCCCTATACAAACAACAAAAGGAAAATAAGAGAAGAAATATAAAAGATTTACCTAACACCATACTGCAAAACAATAACACAAAAACAAGTCCCACCAACTACAATGCTTCAATATAGTGCCAACTCCACAAAAGGTTCTTTGTTGGCTTACAACATTGATTCCATTTGGTTCCACCACCTTTACCAATTAGCAAATGAGAACTAATATCCAGATGCTCTCTTGGAATTTTCTCTAAAAATGTCCATAAAGGCAAATATAAATAAATAAAAGCACTAACAGGCTTCTTCCCTAATATACTATCCTCGACTAAACAACCATCCTTGGACTTTACGATTCTATGGCCCACTATATGGTCTCTCATCTTGTGATCATCATAATTCACTGATCATTGAATCCTCAAAAGTTCTCTTTCCTTCCTAGAGGACACTTTACCCTCTTTCTTCAAAACCTTCTTAACCTTCTCCCTCACAGGTTTAATTTCCATGGAAACAGTGACCATTACACTAGTCGATACAGTAATTTAAAACCATGCTTCTGATACCTCACTGGGGCCTTCACATTTTGCCCAATGGTCTTCAGATCCCTTCTTTCCACCCCCATACAGGATGAAATCCAGAAGCATCTCTGCCACACCTATGTACCCATCACCATACTTAAAGACTCTGGAAGGCAAACCCTGCTCTCTCCTCAGACTCTAGACGGCAAATCCCGCTCTCTCCTCTGCCTCTAGGAAGCCCTAATCTCCACAAATCTCTCTCCTTTGTTTTGGCGACTCGACTCCAACAACCCAGCTTCCTACAACCACTCTCAAACTCCTCAAGAAACCCAATCTTCTCTGCCCCTGACAAGCCACATCCAATTTTTGCCAAGCCAATTAATCTTGAACCCCAACAGAATTAGTGATCTCAGAAAACCCTGCCCCATTTCTGCCACCACCACCCTACTCCCATCATTCCTATCTCCGACTGAACAAACAATTTTAACCCTAGCTACAAAATCCTCCTCGTGGTTAGAAACTCAAATTTGTTTTGCAATCCAACAAGAAAATAAATAAGCTAGATCATGTACTCAACAAAATGACTTGCTATAAGTCATACAACCTGTCACTAAGACCAAACATTTAGACATATTATGTGGCATGGCAGAATCTACCTGCAACAGGGTCAATTGAGCAGACAATGAGGTTGCTTCAGTTTGCAGGGTTTGAACTTTTCTTTCAAGCTCAACTATGTACCTTTTCTATCTTTCCTTTGACCTAGCAGCTGACTGCCGATTTGCCCAAATCCTATCATAGTAAGAAAATAAATTTGAGAATGATGTAAACCAGTCACACGATCCATGGGTTAGGCAGAAGCAATAAAAACAAAAACACATAAATAAAAAAGGATAACAC